CCAGAGGTGGAATGACTGAGTCTTTGCTCTGTGCTGGAGCGTTGCGATTAAGCCATGTGGGTTTCACTGGTCGTGGCAAACTAGGTAAACAAATGGAGTGAAATCAAACTCAGCTAATCAACACAAGCATTTTATGGGGCACTTCTAATCAGGTTTCATCTGTTTCTCATTAACTGCTGTACATGAATGTCAAGTTAAAATTCAACAGCTATGTTGTTTACTTGAGCTGCAACGTTAAATTTGTTGTGTGGAATAAGCAAAAAGGTTTGTGTTGGATTTTACAATGAACAATAATAGTAAATAACATGATAGAGATTCATGAGCGAGCTCCAACACCTGTGCATGAATGTACAACTACATTCAGTGCAAGAAATGGCCCTCTTCTGTGTCCACATGATTTCTTGGGTTAGGCAGTAGACTGACCTGATAAGGGGCTGATGTAGTGCCACTAGGGAGGCATGAATGGCTACAGAGATGACAGACAGGTGGAAGTAGTCAAACATGACATTGATGTGTTGGTGGATGCCTCGCTGAAGGCTAAAGTGCAAACGAAGTGTGCGTCCACTGATATTCTGCAGAGTGCCTGGATCATCTGGCCTATGGAAATTAAATAAGAAAGATACAGAGGAACCTATAAGTGCCTCATTTGTTAAAGAGGTGCAAACATCAAATCACACAAGTAGACGTTAAAATGTTGCAACACCTACGTGTAATCACCATCTGTGAAATACAAATCCAAGAAGAGCTGGAAATCCATGTCATTGAGGGACTCCTCCACCTGATGAAAAAAAGTAGACATTCAAATTTAGAGCCTTTGTGTAAAACCAAGAGATGTTCCAGGTTGATGTGCCAGATCTGTATTGTGGCAATCAAGGTTATTTTTTATATTTGATGGTATCAGATCTAATAAGAATGATGTATTTTCAAGCATTTAGTTGTTGTGATCCACTGCTGTGAGGACACATCAACTGTCAAAAACACTACAATTTGCCCTGACAGAACAGTTGAACCTCCCTGTTCCAAACACAGGGCTTTTAAAGTAAACTGCAGAACGGCACAAACAAATAAGCGGAAGCAATTTTGATGAAGATATTCAATCTGACAGCTACTTTGCCTTGGGATAATAAATAAATCACTTTGTCTTCATTCCAGTGACATTTTGCAGGTGCATCACGCTTCTAATGGGCTGATTTTAGTAGAAGAAGCATCTGAACTCCCAAAATGTGCTTGCAAGTTCATGCCACAAAATGTTCCAAACCAACTCCTTTCTCTAATGACTTTAAACAAAAACTACAGAAGGACACAGCTATAAACATACTCATCTAAATTGGATTGGCTTTTAATGTACTTTAATGTCTACTTAGGCCAACTGGGCAGAGAGCAGTGGCATCACACAGAAAAACAAGAGATTGGGATAAATAAATATTTTGGATTGGGGGCAAAAAACTAATTACTCACCTTCTTCTCATCCAGCAGCATCATCACTTTAAAGAGGAGGACATCATTGACCACAACCTCTTCATTCTTGTACAGGATTTGGAAAGTTTTGCTGCAGATGACATCATCTTGGACCAAAGCAGGAAATGCCAGATCTGAGCCTAGAAAAAAACCCCTAAGATTAACTGTGTGATTGTGAAATTAACAATTAAGTGATTAAAGTTATCTGAATAGGTATATCTTATTAGGTTTGGGTTGAAGATGAATGTGCAGTTGTTGAGCAAAGAAAAAGAAGGAACAGAGCATTTAAGTGTTAGAATTACAACTCATGAAACAAAGAACTGATTGCTTTATGTGAAAGGAGCAGTGCAGGTCTCCAAGCAAGGGGTGAGGCATATGCCTTAGAGACACACTGAGAATAAGGAAGGGCATGTGACATAAGCAAGTGCCCTGCCAGCTCCCTGCTAACACAACAAAAAGTAAACCAAATCTGCAACAATAACTGTTTTCACTGAAAAAGCCCTAATATCTGAGAGCTGAAATTAAATTTAAGTAAAAATGAAAGTGTGCCTGAAGTATTAGTATGATTTAATTAGTGTCGCCTACTTTTACAGGGAAACAAACAGCCCCCTGATAAGAGCAGCAGAGCATTACTTTTTGCATTCTGCAGAAACGTGTAGTGTTGTGTGTGTAGATGCCTTGTGTGCAATGCAAAAAGATTAAATGCAGTAAGAAAAAAAAAAAAAACTGTTTAGACTGTACACATCTTCACAAATGCATTTACCTCCTGGGTGAAGCAGACTGGTCTCAACTTTGTGTGGGACCCGGGGAGGCACCTTCAGATTGGCACGAATCTGGTAGAACCTGAAAATGCAGACACATTTTTTTTAAATGAATACTGGTATAAAAAACGAGCACCATTAGCTTGGTCCAGATCATCATTGGAGGCTCAGTAAAAGGGGGACAAACTGCACAGGTTAGCTCCAAGTATCTCTACTTGTAACATGACACTACACCTTTCATAAATGAATAATGAGCACTTCTTTGGCAGTCACTCATGTGGTAAACCCGAGTCTTTAAAGCACTGAGCCAAGAGCATAGAGTAGGAGTTTTATCTCAGCAAAGCGAAGTATTATTACTCTGCTACCGTATTTCCAGATGTTAAAGATGACAACTGTTAGAGCTGGGCAGTTTAAACAACAAGAATCACTTTTCTACAAAACATGGTAATTCTGTGTCTGTTGGACACAGTTGCTGGATGTTTGCTAAAAAAGTAAACAATGGGAATCACATATATTTGATGGATGCATTATTCCTACTTGGCAGTGTGACAAGGACGGACAGGACACCATACAATACAGTGCCACAACCATAATTGTATCAGGTAGCAGGAAATTACAATTTAACTTGTATGGGAAATCTGGGCTGTAGCTTGTTTCCTATGGTGACACAAAGTGACCACTAAGTGACTGCTGCATGATTTATTTAGTGTAATATGCTATGATACACTGAAATGGGAACTCAGTGCCATGAAACAAAAAATGTCTGTTTGTTAAGTCAAATATTGGCCTTCCTAAGACACACATTTCATGTTTCAGATTTACCATTTTACTATCACCTACAGGACTATGGCAATTAATAACAAATTTAAATTAACTTTTAGAAACGTCGGCCAGTTACTGTGAACATTTAGACCCCAGACCTTTAGCTCAGATATATAAAGCATTAATGAATTGCCACTTGCTGGAAACACAAATACCAAAAAGAAACAGGATATCAGATATGTAGAGACAATACTCACCCTCGTTGGAATAGGTCCACATTGTAGAACTTGTGGAGCTCCACAGAGAACTCCACTGTGGCTTGGACTTCAGCCATCTTGGTCTTTACAGGCAGAGCTGCCTTACATCATCTGGGATACACCTGTAGGCCTACAGGTAAAAGTAATCAAATTAGTCACTTCACCTCCAGGACAATTTTTTTTTTTTTTTTTTTTTTTTTTAAAGAAAACAGAAAGCAAACAGGTTTTTGTCAAAATGTTCTTTTCACTTATATTAAAAAGTTTAAATACAGAATTTCCACTAGAGACACAAGTAGGCCAATCCCTATTACCATTAAAAGAAGAACATGAGCGGTTTTCATACAGTCACAAGATCAAGTTTAAGAATAGTGATAGAACAATTAACCGGGCCAATAAGTAAAATGTAAAATGTCTGCAGACACATCTGCTGTGTTCTAAATGTGAACACGTTTCTCACATCATAAATGGCAGCTAATCTAAACTAATCTAAAACCATTACTGGCTTGCGTTATATATAGTGTTATACTGTAGAGAGAAATGCAGCTGAATGAAGTCACTTCGGACAGACTGTACCTCACTCTCCCTTAATAAACACCAGTCACGTTCTCAAATCTACAGCATAACCCAATGGATTTTTCTATTTCAATAATTATAAATAAAACAACACGTTATTGGCTTAGTTAACCATGTATATTAGATTGTATTCTGCATGGAATAATGGAATTATAAATGACTTTTCTTTGTTTTGATATCAACATTATATATTGGCCATTTGCCGCCCCGCTCTCAAAATATTGCCATTGGCCATTGCAAACCCATATCAGTTGACCACTATTTAAGAATATATATGACTTCAGTAATGGTCAACCTTTTAGGGGAATTATTACTAGGGCACGAGGTCCACATTTGGCATAGGGGACATTCTCTCCTCTTGGCCTAATTGGTTAACAGCACAGACAAGTATAGCACTAGTATGAAAGGGTAAGGGAAAATACTATGAATAACACTGCAAAAATAGGCCTGAGATATAATACCACCTATTGGTAGTGTTAGAAATAAACAGACATCCTTGTCATTTAATGCAAACATTTTTAACCCATCTAATTAAGGAAAAGGCCATTTGGTTGTTTTTGGCTGTAGTAGGGGCAGAATGAAACTGGCAATCACACAGATGCTCCCTAAATTAGTGATGTAAGAAATTAATAAATCATCACTTTATAGACAACGTGTCATTTTGTTCATGCCAGTAAAAACTAATATGAGACAACATGAATTTGACAGATACCTGGTGCAGAGAAAATAGTACCAGGTATGTTAATATCCAAACATGCCTGGCTTCGTGGAAGAAGTGATCTTTAAAAGCAAGTTAAAATTACGTGTGATCCTCTGAGGGTCTGATTTTGAGTTCAGTTGTCGTCGGAGCAACTGCTTTAACAGCACTGTCTCAAGACGAAACATTACACTTATGTAAAGGCTAGTAATACGAATAATATTAAATGTAAAGTAAGGCGTTGACTGTTGGGAATGCTGAAATCTTGCGGCCAATAAACCAACTAAGTTAACGTTAACCTGTCAAGTTGAGCTATTATGTATGTCCGCTGAAACATTTCTGAGAACGTCATTAGAATAAATGCAAAACTGTCATTTGGAAAAAACACACCAATGCAAAATGTCACATTTCCATAAACAAACTCCGACAATCGCTCATAAGGAATTAGAAAATCTAACTGGCACTTAAGATAATTCAATGCAACTGCCCGCCTCGGAGAAGGTAAAAGTAAAACATACATAACTAGTTTTATAAGTTACATATACAAAGGTACATTAAGAAGGCCTTAACAAACATCGCATGACGGGAGCGTCTTTTATAAAAGGGGGACCTGTCAACAGCTAAACCCCAAAACTGATACAGACCAGCTAGAAAACAACTATTTAAGATATTACTTAGCTAACGTTGCATGGTGTGGATGTTATATCTACAGTCAGTGAGTGAGGTAAAGGTCTCTAGCTGATCGGCAGAATCTCTGCAAGGGTATCCTTCGGGTTACAGGTGGGAAGCTACTGCCAAAGCAACATTCTGGGGCCCACAAAAGGTCAGGAACGATCCATTAAAGACACACCATAACGCACTTGAACAGACCGACGACAAAGTCTCACTTGATAGCCAGTTAGCTAACAGTAACAGTTAGCGTAACGTTAGCCACCCGCCAAACACTGGGGTCTAACGTTAGCCGCATAGGCAAGCAAACGCTACCTACCATTGCGCTGGCAAGCTAACATTAGCTAGCTAACCAACGTTAGCTCCAATTTCAGTCCTCTCGTCGTCCTTTCACTGTGAGATGCTGACATATAACACTGCTGTGCCGACTTTTTACCTTCCTTGTGTGGTGAACGGTGTAGGAGAAACGCCCTTAAAATGAAACACAGAGTAGACTGGCCATGTATCTCTCTAAACAGTGCTGTTTGCTAGGCATCGAGCTAACTGTACTCAATCTGAGGAGCCGACAGGCGCAGCTCCAGCTGTACGCTGACGAACATTTAACTGCGCGTTACTGCACATACCAGAGGCGCAGTTGACGCCACATGCTAAATTGCTACCTGTAAATACAACTAAAGAGTTATATGTAATAATTTGCAATAATACTTATACAATAACAACGCTACTATTTATTATATTATATACTACTACTACTACTACTAATAATAATAATGGAATGTACTATTACTATTATCATTATTGTTATTATTATATCCCTAGTATGCTGTCAAACATCTAAAGGTTGGCCATTGGCATTTCTGGTGGAGGTTTTTCAAAATAGTTGGCCTTATTCTTAATAGTTATTGATATTTTACACATCTTGTGACACTATGCATATCATTTATTATGAGTAGGATAAAAAAAGTTCTCATGAATGTCTACTCCTATTTAAGGTTTGTATAGGCCCATTGGGTAGGCCTAGCAAGGCTGTGTAGGTGGCTGTAACTGTACGTGCTTTTCTGTGTCTTGTGTTTTGTTTTTTTCTTCCCTGTGTGTATGCCTGAATTGGCAGACCAACTGTGATTTGGCTTAAAGCGACCTGCCAACAAAAAAGGATGTAAGTGCTGTTCTCTACAGTATGTGCAGTGTGTTCTTTGTGGGTAAGTCAAATTTCAAGTATCAGTGCTTATAGAGAGCAATCAATTTAATAAAAATAGCAGGATATGGGGAGGAAACATGCGGGAGGGACTTTAATGTGCAGTCAGCAGTTTCATTTATTATTTCCCTGAGCTAACATTTCCAAATTCTTAAAACAAATTCCATGTAAAGGAAAACACCAAAGCTGTGTTTCCTGGTAATAAACACAATAAATTTCAATGGATTCTGGATGTTATGAAAAATACAAGTCCTACACCTTATTTCAAGAATTGACTCCTTAAAAAAGGATGTGATTTTTTTTCCTGCCTCTTGAGCTGACAGAGCAAACAGCTTGAATTGCTTCTTAGCCAGCGTCTCTTGATTTTCAGTTTGGACTGCAGTGGACACAATGCTGTCTAAATACATTGCAACCATAGTGATGACAGACAATGTAGATCCCAGGAGTGCTGGGCAAATAAAGCCAACACCGGTTAACATTATCTTTTTCACAGCTAATTTACTTGGTATTACTTATGGTATACACAATCACGAAAATAGAACTACAAATGGGATTCAATACTGTAATCGTGTGCCTGAAAAAACATTAACAATAATCCCAGGTGGGAACAGGAGAACTCAAGTGGAATGTAAAGTGGACACTGTGGAGACTGTTGACTCACTCCCCCAAATAAATGACAACAGTCAAGCCTATAAGAGATCCCTCACTGTGACTTGAGGTTCTTCACTCCTGCTGAGGGAGCAACTCTCTGGGGTTTTGTTCTCTCCTGGAAGCCTATTTGTAGAAACATCTGGCAGCAGATATTTTTTTTATTTCCAGATCAAGCTATGAAATGGGTGGAGTAAAGAGGTAAATATTTTACTTAATAGTGGCCTTGTGAGTAATGTGACATGTAATTGATGCCAGCACACAGTCATAATGCAATGGATGTTATGGTTGAGTTTTTTTTCTTTCTGATTGCATTCCAGACATATCCTTCTGTACTCATTGTGCTGCTGCTGTGTGGTCCCACAATATCTTTGCACAAGACTTCATTCTCAGCGTAAGTAGTCGTCTACACTGCAAGGTGTAATTGGTGAGATGTCAATGACAAAGAGAGACAAAATATTGTGAACATTTCGTTTCTTTTAAAAGCAGTGCATTGCTACAAAGGTGAGTCACGGTCACTTGTATGCCAATCATCAGTGTGTGTCAACCCACCACATACTGTATCTGTAAATCATATTTCAGCTGGTTAGTTTGCACTTGAGACTGCTGTTCCTCTTTTTTGAAGAGACAAACCCTGCTACTTGATATTCATTAACATAAGGCACTTATAGAACCACATGCATCCTGTGTGGGTGTGTGTGTATTGCAGCACTAACATTGCTCAGTTAGGCAGTCCTGCTGTGTGCCTGTGTATAGACTCAACTGTGCACTAGTATAATATAAATACAATATTACAGTCATACCCTGAGTCATACATTTGAGCAATGTCAGGTGTTTAATACAATGCTGCCCCCCTACTTGGGAAATGGAGAAAGGAAGAATCTGTTGTATGTGAACGATTTATTCAAACTTGATAAAGACCTTCAACTTCCTGTCCAGATGTGGAAAAACAGGCAAATGTAGAGCTTACGTGTTAAAGAGGAAACCACAAACAGCCAGAGATAGCCTAATATTTATTCAAGGCAGTTGTGCAGCTTTCCAAACACTGAGCTTTTATACCCTCCCCACAACACACACACACACACACACACACACACACACACACACTCTGACTTCTAACGGGCTGCTTTCTGTTTTCGTCTTGCAGCTGTGAGATTTTCATCGCAAGTTGGTATTCATGAGGAGCAGCAGACCATGTGCCCTCAGATCAGCAATGGGGAGGATCATTTCCCAGGTGGATTCACAAAAACAAAGCACAGCTTGCTTTTTTATTTTGCTTTATTATTGCCCCGCCCATACATTGAAAAAAACTACATAATATTAGTCCTACAGTAAAATGTACAAATGAGATGCTGTATGTTTGTTAAAGGTCATTGTGTGAGACTATAGCTTGGAAGATATAGAGGCCTGTGGTTTATTGTTTGACACTTGACTACAAACACTTAAATAATCACTATAGCAGTACTTAAACACCATAATAAAATATACAAGATATAGGTTTTTGCACCATGGAGTAGGATCTACTCAAGGTCTTACATGACTTCTGAGATGATTTTGCATTTAACCGCTCTTTTGTCCCTGTACCTTTAGGATTTTATATTATGTCCCAGTTCCACATTGCTGAGCTGGCAAGAAGGGGCACTGTTAAAAAGGTTACTGGATCATCTCCTCAGCAGGTTGCTTATCAAATAGGCCCAGCGTTCAACTTCAGAATCAACACGAGGTGAGCTGCAGGACGTTGAAATGGAGTATGAGTGAACACTGACACCTAGTGGTTGAGCTGGTATAACGCCATTGACCCTACCCTGTCCATGGTCCTGAACAACAGACTGTTGTCTGCACCATAATATTCCTTCTGATACTAAAGATACTATACCATATGACATTTTATATGATGAAACGGGGACTATGTGATTACAGTAGAGATGATACAATTTACCTTCAGTACGTAGGCCTAGTATCACACACTTCATAAACCTTACTGGAATATTGATTTTTTTACTGGAAGATGTAACCTGCGGATTTAATAATAGTACATCCTCTGTGTTTCAGATCAGCTTATCCCCTGGGACTGCCGGAGGAGTTTGCGTTTGTGGCGATGCTGCGCATGAGTGAAAGCACCATCAATAAAAAGTGGAATATCTGGCAAATGCAGGATGTGAATGGGAACGAGCAGCTGGCCGTCAGACTCAATGGAGAGTCTAAGTCTCTGGAGTTTACCTTCACAGCGCAGGACAACGGGAGGCAGACTCTTGTATTTAGCCCCCTGGCATTTCTTTTCAATGATCAGTGGCACAAAGTCCTACTGGACGTCAGCATGCGCTCTGTTACCCTATCCGTGGACTGTGTCGCGATCGGTTCTCAGAGTATACCACCACGGCAAAAAGTTAGTTTGGATGGCTTCACGTTGATAGGAAAGCTCAAGGACAACCCAGTGATGGCAATTCCGGTACGTCTATTATAGCACTGCCACTACGTTTCTGAAATTTTAGAGAAGCACATTCTACCACAGTCCACTGGATCCCCAGCAGTTCATCCTAGGAGAGAGAGATTGGGCACTGGTGGAAAGTAATCAAGTTTCTCTATGTTAAAGCACAGACACTCGCAGACATCTTTAGCTGTCAATGTCCATTTTGTGACACTTGATATGTTTAGGCCTATTCTTTTTTTTGAAGAGAAACAAAATGAGACTACTTTCTTCTTGACTTAGTATTTGATGTCCATTCTATTCACTTAAATCTCATAAAATATGATGAATTGGTAATGCTTTTTTGTGACATTTTCTGACTAACATATCATGACTTTGTGTGTCCCTTCATATTACGGTTTATTTTTCTTTGAAGGGTATTTTGTTAATGAGCATCAGGAGTTGTGACATTAGAACATTAAAATACTTAGCCTACATGTTATTGCTGCAGTAATGTTAACACTGTGAAAGGAAAGACCATCAATTGTGAGATTCTCTTAGCTACTTTTGTATAATAGTATAATTCTATAGAGCCTTGCTTGATTAGGTTCTGCTTCCAGTAGACTTGTTCCTTCAGGCGTCCACGACATGCAACAGTTGGGGAATCCTTGTGTTTTCTCACCCACGTGTTTGGTTTGTCTGTAACAATGTCCAGTAGTTTAAGTCTGATGTCTCTCCATTCAGGCTTCACTGAGAAATATGTGGAATTTGTTGCAGGTTGTGGTGAAGAATACGAGCTGTGCACAGGTTATACCATCCTGCAGTGCCGCACCAGATTCAGGCGCCTCCATTGTGCACGATTACGCACGAACGCATATCCTAATGAGAATTAATATTTACCTGCTTTAACCACACTATCACCTCTATGTAAGCGTTTAAAGCCCACAGTCATGATGTGATAATGAGTCCCAGACTGTAACTAATTTGTTGTGCAAACATAGCCTGCTTTCGTCTTTGTATCGTGTGCTGCAGAAAATACAGACTTGAGGCTAAATTGGTAATGTAACAGCCTTGGGAAGCTAATAGTGACGATAACGGGACTTGTTGAGAACTTGTTCCAGGATTAAGTCGCGACACTGTACAACTGTTAAAGTAAAATCCTGCTAATCTATTTTTGTCCTTCATTTATTTATCAAGTTTGAGCTCCAGTCAATGCTGATTCACTGCGATGTGACGCGAGCCCGGACAGAAGCTTGTTATGACCTCCCAGCCAGGACATCGGTAAGAAGAATTAAAAAAAATACATCTATGCTGTCTTTAAGTAGTGGCTAAGCTGGATGAGCCTAAATGGCTGTTAATGGAGAGGAAAATAAAATCAAGCAGCACCCAAACTGTACGCATGTGTTGACCAGTAGGCTACTGCATCTTTATGTCTCTATTTTCTCCCAAAGATTTGTCACACACTTAAATTTGTCACACCTAAAATCAAGTTTGAATAAAATCATTTTGGGGTCATAGCAGAGGTTAAATAACCCGCTGACCTTTCTTATTGGTGGTGTGTGCGCCATGGCCCCTCCCCGCGGTGCCCCCTGCCCCACCCCTGCAAATCCTCCAATCCTTTCCTGTAGCCAGACATTGTATGAATATACATGAGCCCCTGATGGCTATGGGACCTCGGACGGTCTAGATAGCTGAAGCGGATTCAGTTAGGTTGTTTTGTCGGGGCTCCCTCAACCCAACAAATCCCAGAGAAAGGATCACTCTTACCTATCCTGCCCACGGGGAGATCATGGCTCGGGACCCCAGCGTTAGAGGGCCACTTGTGATTCTGCTTCTGCAACTTCTCCTTACCTGCTACGCTCAAGTAAGACTTCTCTCTGGTCTCTCTATTTTTTTCTCTCTATAGACTGATGTGACAGAGGTGCAGGTGAGTGTTCACCTGGTGCTATTCGGATTCATGCTAAATAACAAAGATCCATTTATCTGTAATTGTTGCGAGATGCTCAGATTGTTTCTTCTAGTAATTTATTGGACATCTGTCAAGGACCAAAGTCAGAGATGTGACGTTTGTCTGGAGTCTTCTTTTTAAACTTTTGCTTTTGCAAAATGCTGATTAATTCTGCTGATGGATTCTGCAATCAGAAATCAGCTCTAGACTGTAAGCTGTTTCACAGTTTGTCTGTATCAATGTCTTCTAGCAACATACAATACATTGGTGCACCTGTTCTCATTTTTTCATATAGTCTGTGTAGCAGTATGTTAATATAAGAAATAGCAAAATTGGTAGACATTTTCTTATTATATTATTCTCATTATTTTATTTAGAGGAGCCAAGGAGCTGCTGGCCCTCCTGGACCTGCAGGTGTCCCAGGAATTGATGGCGTTGCTGTAAGTGCTCTCAGTTCTGTATCATATAATGTGCAGACTACTTTTTGAATAGTTGATTATTTGCTCATCTTAAAGAATTGAATCTCTTGTTTTCCAGGGGGAAAGGGGAGCAGATGGCGAGGACGGTCTTCCTGTAACTATAACATTTAATAATAACTGAAAATGATGCATTGCATTGCTTTTCATTGTAGGGCTTTTCACCGAGTCATGTGCATATGTGGTACCTTTGTTTTTAGGGACCCGATGGAGATGCAGGTAAACCCGGCTCTTCAGGATTACCTGGAATTCCTGGAAATGATGTGAGTACTCTATGTTTTGTGTTTTATACATATAGCATTTGCCACATTGTTGGCCACAACAAGGTCACCACAAGGGGGTGGAACTACAAAGTGTGATCCTCCCACTAAATAGGTTATGTTAGCACTTATTAGTCTTGAAGAGACTTGACCAATGGAATTTCAGATTAGCAGGAGATCTGGGGAAAATGTGTGCAAATTGTGAGGAATTTATTAAATAGGATGAACAAATCCAAATTTCCTTTTTAGCAAGGTAAACTGGGGACTGAGTGTAATTAACTTAGCTCCCCTAAGAGTTTAAGCAAAACATCCAAACATAACATTGGGGCTGATGATAGACTGACAAAGAGGGGCTGTGGGTGAAATTAGCTTATCTCAAAGGTTTATTTCAACAAGCATTCAGAATGTATTGTTATAAACTACTGTAGATGTGTACATGTTTTATGCATTAGGATTCATTATACCTCGATACATCTACCAGGATTCTGAAAACAATAGCAGCTTTGTTGGCTGGCCGCTGTTGGTATCTCCTGTTGAGAATCCTCAAAACAGTGTGGAATGATTTCTGTCGGTGCGCTTGTTTGAAATGAGCCAGAGGAATGTAGCTCTCTGCTTGGTTTGCAGTCTGAGAGTTTTGCCCTCTGCCCTGGTGCTGACTTTTTCTGTGTGCCTGTTAAGTTGAACACGCTTTCATGGAAGTCATCAAGTGCTGAAGAATGGAGGTTTAATCTTAGTGTGACTGACAAACTTGAAGCAGCAGTGCAGTATATATGGAAGCACTTGAGGGGAGGGGGTTGTACTCAAGTTAATCCCACTTATGAATACATAGGACTCCTCCCACTGGAGTACGCTTGTGTTATGATGATGTAAAGTGTGGGGATCTGATGCTGAAGTTAGGAATATTGGCAGAGAAGGGGGAATAGTATTGGCTCCTGAGGTAGTAGGTACATTTAACTTCATTTTTTTACATTTGTAAATATAAGGTGAAAGTATATATATGTGTTGTAAGTTAAGAATGATGTCTCTACCTTGCAGGGTTTGACTGGCCCTATTGGAGATCCTGGGCCTGATGGTCTCCCTGGACAGAAAGTGAGTGACTAATGAGCCTTTGCTTTCCTGCTTCAGAGTCTGTCAGTGAAATGGTGCCAAGCTGCTGTCTAGTCTTTTGGCATGGCAGCAAGAGCTGCAGTGCATAAACCAATTTCTCATGACAAATGAGACTTAATCCTGCAAGTCTTCTATGTAATCTCCGTGGGGAGTGAAGCCCCAACATCGGTCCTCATTAGGCTAAACATTGCTGGGTCAAGTGTGCCCAGCGCAGTCATGTGATAAGCTGGAGGAATGTTAACTCGCACCGTCTGCAGGCTCACACAGCTCAATTTGACCTGTGTTCCACACTGTTTCAGTATTTGTATCAACACCTGTCGACGTATCTAATGTATTTATTTATCGTCGTCCTTTAGGGTGAACCTGGAAAACCTGGACCTCGTGGAGCAGCTGTGAGTAGCATTTCTTCCAAGGATCAGATCAACCCCTACCATCTGGAAATGACATAATCTAGAAGTCTTTCTTGTCTTGTGTACACCAAATTATATAAATCACACTGAGTCAACCTGTATGTGTTTCTCGTTAGGGTGTTGGACCAGATGGACCCCCCGTAAGTAATTTGTTCATGCTACCCAATCAATGCCTCACTTCATATTAAAACTATACTAACTTTTTAAATATTAAATACCTTAAACCTGTGACTTTAAACAGGGACCACCCGGGCCTGGAGGACTTCCGGGTGAAGTGGGAAAAGCTGGACTACTCGTGAGTAGAAACAGAGCAAAAGACTAAATTAGAACAACAGGATAGAAAGTACCCTGTACCATCAAATACTACAAGCATGAGCACTGAGGTGGTGGCATGATACCCTTTCTCCAGTTTATTATATTACATGTATTACACTACAGTATATAGGGCTGTACAGTACAGATACATTGTTTTATATGGATCAGTGGCTTTGTAATGATGGGATATATTTAAAATCATCTGTAGACGAGGTTTAATGATGCAAATGATCCAGTGAAAATGGCTTCACCTGTATGAAGTATTTTATACTTAGCTTAGACAGACTTTCACTTTTGTTTCCTGCTCTGTCCTTGGCCAATGGGTGCAACCCCTCAACCCTCACAAATCTGTGACAAAACACATTTGTGCAAACACACTCATAAGAACAGACATACATACTGAAAAAGTACTTTACATTAAAACAAAATGTCAAATTGAAGACAGATGGATTCAGCATTTTATTTCACACATTCGAAGATATTTTAGAACCAGATTTGTGGCAAGAAAGTCAGTACAAAATATCAAATATTCAGCCTTTTATCTAAATTGCCTCTGGGTCTTTGTTACATTATAGGTTGATTTGTTTAAATTTGAATTTTGTCCTTTGGTTATAGTTGTCAGCATCTGCTTACATTTGATTACTAAGCAATGATTTTAGATATACAGTTAGAGTTGCAATCTGGGTTTAACTCTCAATGTACTATACATGGAAATATGGACTTCAAAGGTAAAAATAGGAAATCCAGTATTCAGCAGTAATGGAGAGCCCATTGCATTCATCCCCTTTGTGTATTTTTTTGATACATGTCATGTCTTTCCACAGGGGTCAATGGGTGTGAGAGGGCCACAGGGACCTCGTGGACCAACAGGGCCTAGAGTAAGTGACGCATCACAAGATTTGCAAATGATTACATTTGACTTCATATTTCACAAGGGAAGGAGCATGATATGACCATGAAATTAATTAGGCCTTGTTAGTGATGCCACTGTTGTACACTGCTGTCCTTCTTCCAGTGATTTACAAGCTCCTTGTGGTGTTGATAAATTACAATAAGAAACTGTTCACTTGTATTTTCTCCAAATTTCAGGGTGCAGCTGGAATGCTAGGCAGTGCCGACCTGGTAAAGCTTTCTTTTTTGGAGATTATGAATGAGGTTTTTTGTTTTTGTCAGGAATATAATATCTGACTTTTATGTTGTTATTTAGTGTCCAAACTCTTGTCCACCTGGGACCTCTGGACATCCTGGCCTTCCTGGCATGAAGGTGAGAAGCTGAGTTGAGAAGGTTTGTGTCACACTAGAAAAACATGATAGTGTTCAAAATACATTGTGTTTGACAGAGGCACCTTTTTATTTTCTGTATGTTTCAAGGGCCATAAGGGTGTAAAAGGTGAAGCAGGAGAACCTGGGAAACAAGGGCACAAGGTAAAATTTGTTCAATTCAGGAACCAAGTATTTCGAGTCATTTAATGTTCTAAACATCAACAGCATCAACGAAGGGAATGTATTCTCACATAAAACTGCATAAATAGTCACTTAAAAACATGAATTTCCCTCCACAACTGTAACACATGCCACAATGCTCCACATTGGGAAAAACACGATGTATGACTTAAAAGTGGAAAAAGGGAAGTATTATTTGTGCTGCTCTATTTCAAGAGGATGCGATACATGCCTGTGTGTAATGCCTCTGACTCCTTGTAATGCACAGAGGAGGATTTATTTGAAATGATGTTCAAGCACAACTACTCTCTCCCTGTTATGTGTCTGTGCACTATATAAATGGAAATGAGTCTGGGCCTATCTCCCTTTATCACCCCGTGCCAGGTTATGATTTACTGTCAGTCTGCGCTCCGTCCCCGTGAATGATTTTCTCCTTCACTGGAAGTTTCATTTGAGGGGCCTTTTGCCTCTTTTCCACTCAAATATGAATTTGAACTAAAGTTAACAATAGTATAACCAGATGTTGTGCTGGGGTTGAAAGGGAATAGTTTCATGATATTTTAGAATATTGAAATTTAAAATAAGCATGATTGATTATTAAAAAAATTGTGTGACCCAGTTACACACAAAACACTCAGTGCTTCACTTTGTATTTGAAATGAATTCCAGTAATCACATATCTCAAATAATGATATAAAAATCTAGACAAAGACAGAGAGATTTTTTTAGCCTTTGTTCTTAATCAAACCACTAGAAAATGAAGACATTTAATTTAATGATTCAACAGTCTGCCTTACTGAAGCTTTCATCTTCCTCTTTTCTGGAAAACAAAAGCATTAACTCCATTAGAAGAATATGAAATCAGATTTTTTTTCAATCCAAAAATTAAGAATATGTTCCCGTTTCTCTCTTGCTCTCCGAGGTAAACAAATGCCGACCCATTTAAACGCGTTCATTTCTGTTTGTTGTGTAATATTTCATTAGCAGCTATGTATTGTTTACATTCCTTAATATCCAATTCTAATACACATACTTAAAAGATGAAATTGCCTTTTTAATGACGGAAAATGTGTTCAGCCTTAGACCAGAACCACTATTTATCTTAATGGATATGCCTCCTCAGGTCAACCACAGAGCCAGTGTATAAATTATTTGTAATTTGCAAAGCAGGGGAACGCTAATTTGGAGTTAAATCGTCTGCTTTTGCGCCCTTGCAATCCTAAAAAGTGGGTATTGAACACATTTCTGAATGGCTGCCTCATTTTCTAATTAACATTTAGAAGCAGCCTCCGTTTGAATTCTTCTGCACAAGAGAGGCAGAGAGATGGGGCGCCATGGGATTGCATCATACGTTAGGATGTGGTTTCACTGTAATGTAGTTAATTTGCCGTGTGTTTCATCTGATTAACTTCATGCTGTTTATCTGCTTGTGTTGTTTCTCTTTCATTCACTTAGGGTGAGGAGGGAGACCAGGGGAGTCAAGGGGAGGTTGGATCTCAAGGACCAACGGTTAGACACTGTATTCATTAGATGATATTAGAGTCTTTCAAGTTCCAGTTTGTCATTTACTGTGTCAGCTTCCCTTTTTCTCTGAGGCACCTGTTGGATCTGTTTGTTGTTTCAGGGTCCTCAAGGAATTCGTGGAGCCACTGGAATGATGGGCCCCAAGGGAGAGATAGTAAGTGCTTCTATGATTTTTAAGCCAATGGTACCTTTCATCATGTACGTCCGATTCTTCCTGAATTACTCGGGAATTCCGGGTGAATACCATTACTCGTAGTCTTCTCAAATGTTTATTCTTTAAACGGATTTCAATGCCAACACTATTATTGTTCTCTGGCAGGGAGCTCGAGGTCTTGATGGAGATCCAGGTCCCCAGGGTGTTGCAGGGGCAACTGTAAGTTTGTCCCACGATGCAAATGCTTTAATTTTTGCAGCAAACTTGGTATGTATGAGTAGCACATGATTAAATGCATTATTGCAGGGGGATCAAGGCCAGAGAGGCGTGATGGGTGAGCCTGGGCCCCAAGGTGAAACGGTTAGTAGGCACATCAAACATTTTCAGAATTAGAAAATAAATGCTGATTCTCTGGTTTGTACAGTATTTCACAAATGGATTAAATGTACTGTTGTGTTGTTGTTCAGGGTATTCAAGGGAAGCGAGGAATCACAGGTGTTCCAGGTCCCAAGGGAGAGGCTGTGAGTGTCTGATCAATGATGATGAATAAAAGCTTTAATGTTCAGATACAGTGTGAACTCATTCTAGTTTATGCTTTTTATTACCAGGGCTTACCGGGTCCAGATGGTCGCGAAGGTATTCCTGGGATGCCCGGAGCAAAGGTAGAGCATCATTCCTGCTACTTTATTTATAAAACTAGTACGTTTATCACATTAAAATGTGTTGGCTATTTGGCTGTGTGGAGCAGTATTAGATTCTGTTTTTCACTGTCTGTTTCCCTGCAGGGAGACATTGGGAAGGCAGGCGTTCCTGGAGAGGTCGGACTTCAGGGGCTTCCTGTGAGTGTGACCTTTGACCTCAAACTGTCAAGACTGACTCTGACTGGATGCACCTGAGTAAACTCACCAGGGGGAGTTTAAAGCACTAAAGCTTGTGCATGCTGCAGTACAATACTCATCTCCACATCTGTGTTGGAGTAACAAACAGTGGTGTGAATGTTTGCATCTCGTGTTTTTAGAATAAAGTTGACTTATTTTCTGTAAGTTGACATTTCAAGCAAGTGCTATTGATTTCCATTGCTCTGTGGTGTTTTTGCACATACAGCAGGCTAAAGTGTGAGACGGCTGTCTTCCTCAGGCAGAAGAAAAAGTCTTCACAGCTCTTTAACCTGTTATTATTCTAATAAATAGCACTAATGAGAATCACTTGGCATGAGTGACTGTGGCAGTACTGAGATACATTTTGTCGGCGTAAAAGTCATCCCCTGATTTAAATATCCACAGCACTTTTATCACCTTCAAATGAATGTATTTTTTATCTACTATTTTATCTTTATGCACCAGTGTGCAATGCCCTATGAGGTGCGTTTTCTTTAGGAATGACACACCTGCTAGAAATATTTCTCCTTTGTTGTAACAAATATTTCTCCCTGTTATTGTTGTTCTCTGTTTTTAGGGTTTGCCTGGTTCACCTGGACCAAAAGGCTTGAGTGGCCCCAAGGTTGTTTGCTTGATCAATCATTAAATATTATCGATTGTTTCTTCCATTCATTATTCTTGTTTGAATTGTCAAAATCTTAAAGCAACTCTGGTTGTTTCCCACAGGGAGACGCTGGTCAACCTGGCCTTTCTGGGACAATGGGACCTGCTGGCAAAACAGTAAGTGTGGGCAGCACGTGTTGAAACGCTGTCGTGATTTTTGTCACCTCTGTTGTCTCATTGTGTTGTTTTACTGTTGAACCACAGGGTGAGCGCGGAGAACAAGGGGAGCTGGGACCAATTGGACCTATCGGTGAACCTGTGAGTGATTTTGCCTGCTTGGATGTTTGTCTTTTGTTCGTATGTTAATTTAAAACTCAACCCTTATACTTTCTCCTCATTTTCTCTTCTTCTTCCCTACAGGGAGATCTAGGAGAGCAAGGCCCTTTGGGTCCAGTCGGCAAGCCAGGTGCCAGGGTAAGTTATAAACACACGAGTTGTAGAGCACAATTAGATCAACTTGATTATATTGTGATATATGGTGTTAAAATATGTTTAGTTTGTATCCATGCATTTATTTTGAAAGCAAAGTCCTTCTAAAAACCTTGGCAGCAGCCAGTGAACACCCAACAATCATTAGTAATAATAGAAGACATACGGGATAAGGCAAGGAGAGGCACCAAACAATACTTACCTCTTGCATTTTTTGATACTCTGAATGAGAGAAGCTGAAAAGGAGGGATGCCTCAGAGTGTATAGTCTTGGCTGTTGTTTCACTGGAATGTCTCAGAGAATAGACCAAGGCTGGATCTCACATGAGGTCTATTTTCACAGTAAGGGGAGACCTGTAAGCAGCAGGCTGAATGAGCTCTCTGTTCTCCTGGCATTCCTCAGACAGCAGTGATTAAAGGGGGAATGGCACACACAAACATGCCTGAGAGAATAAGCAGCAATGCTAAGTTAGGTGTTATCTACTATAACTTACTGTATCACTGCTGATATTTGAGCAATTTCTGCCATGTTAGCAGGTGTTATACTGTATGAAAAAAGAGCAAAGTGCATTATCTTTTAAAGGCTGCTGCTGATCTTTTAAAGGCTGCTGCTGATCTCAAAGTACTTTCTATAACCCTGCTTAGATGACTCAACAGATGTGCATGTTCATTTGTTATAGGGACCCAAAGGTGACCCTGGCCTTCCTGGTCTCCCTGGTCCTCCTGGCCTGCCCGGGGTGAAAGGAGAGAGGGTAAGAAAACACCACAGTCCCCTTCAGAGACCCTTTTCAGATTTAGGACTATTGTCTTAAGCAGTAAGAGAGGGATTAATGCTGGACAACAAACAGCTGATCAGCTCCCTCTAGTGTAGACAAATATTCTGAACACCTGCGTTTCTGCAAGCCACAACACACTGCAGTCGTCATTAAGTTAGTTAACGCACCCCACCCCTTTTATTACAGGGAGAACGTGGAGAAGCAGGACCCAAAGGAGAGCAGGTATGAAATCCTGATACTAAATATGAATTCTCTCTTCATAGTAATTTTGCATTGAAATAACAAGTGGGCTGCTTGGCATAAATCATTTACAGAGTGTATTTTCACAGGGAGAACAAGGTGATGAGGGAAACCCAGGAGACAAAGGGGATGTTGTAAGTTGTCATACCAACACTATTAAATTAACAATATAATATCTCTATTCACAATACAATCTCACCAGAGTACAATTGTCCCTGTTTCCATCCTCTGTGTTTTGTAACTGCTGTCATAGGGTGAGGCAGGAGAATCTGGACCTAAAGGAGAGGTGAGTTCAAAAAGATTATTGTAAACTGGTACCTCTGTGTTTTCCTGTGGTGTCAAACCACTGTAGTGTAAGGGCTGCAGCTTTGTAACATTTCTCTGGTCTGGTACCTTATTTTCTGTTAAGGTTGGTAACCCCGGCGAGCCTGGCAGACGAGGTCCAGAGGGAAGCAGAGGCCAGCCTGGCATCGAGGGGCCGCCTGGCACACCTGGACCTCGGGGCATGCAGGGGAACAGGGGTCTACCTGGAGTCAGAGGGTCCCAGGGTCCTGCGGTAGGTGCAAGATACAATTCTTTCAAGACTAAGACTTAAGAGAAAGTGTATGACGATACCTGCGATAGCTGCACAGTGGAACTGACTACCGTCTGTAGTAGTAGGCGAAAGATGTTTAAAGTCACAAAAATGGAAAACTACTATTTCTCCTTGTGAGCAAATTTCCCTTACGTACAGTAGACAATTTACACAACGTTGGCAGAAACAAAAAAGCCATGGAAGTGTTTAAAATCTCCTCTGTCACGCCAGTCAAATCCTTTCTTTTCCTCTCATCTCATTTGTTTAATATTTTTAATAAAACCTCGTCTGTGTCCTGTGCAGGTCCACTCCTAATCAACCACACTGTCATCTAATACTTACTTTCACCATGCTTCCTACTAGTTAGGGTCAACTCTCAACAACATACAGAGGGCTTTTGGAAGCATTCCTTCCTTAAAGTCTACAGAACATATTTTTACTAGTTTTATTTAAAACTTAGGTAGTCATTAATGAGTCCCTCTGGGCAGAATGATTCTCCCTCCAAACTTTTATCTTTGTTATTCTGATGTCCTTGTTATAATTTTAACACCCAGTATTATACTTTTCACCCCAGCAGCAAGATGCTCTGAAAATGTTGTTTCAATGAGAATTTAAAATGTTAGCACCCACCTCAGTCTTCAGTGAATCAGGAATTGACATCCCTGCAGAGGAGGGGAGCAAAAACAACATTTTCCTTATTGAGATTGGTAAAATCCCAATTGAACTTCAGTGCCCTTGTTGTTGAAGGGGGAAACCCTTGCACCTCCAAAATGTCAACTTTCCAGGAGAGGAGAAAGGAAGGCTCATTTTTAGCTTCACCACAATGCACTTTGAGTTTTTTAAACAGGTTTTAGAAACCCAAGAACACCCAAAAGAGGATAAAGGAATCTTTCAGTTGTTGTGAAAGCAAGTCAGTAGAACAGGAGAAGTGCTGTTTTCACTTGATAACAGTAGTGTGGTGTTGACGCTGTCATGAAATCTATTAAGTCACCATTTTTCCTTCCAGGGTAAAGAGCCAAGTGATCAGCACATCAAGCAAGTTTGCATGCGAGTCATGCAAGGTAAGAACTGGTGGGCCTTTGACCCCATTTATCATTCCCTTGTGCCTCATTTTATGACTTTAATCTTTCGCAGGCTGCCTCATTACACAACCACACATGGAGCTGCCCCACCGTTGTCTCATTGATCTAGGCGGTTTCTGAGTCCTCTGAAGTTCAGAAAGGGAAGGGCTCATAACCAAAACATGAAATAAGCTTCAGTCTTTGTTTATTTGATGGATGAAATATTTCTTCTCTGAGCGTCGCAACCTCTGTTCTCTTCATTCTGTTTCTCTTATGTCTCCACAACTCATCTCCTACACTCATGATTTTTTTATACCCGATGTGCTGAAAAATTAATTTCACCTCCAGCAGACCTGCACTCCACTGCTCCAAGCAAAGAGTCTGCCTGGAAAGGAAATCTCAAAAAATAAAAAAGAGCAGTCAAGCAACGGCTGCATGAATTTTCATCAGGAGCCAGGAAACTGGAATTTTAAGTGCAAAATACCATGCAGCAAGGAGCCACAGGAGATTAATATTAGTTCCGTTTGCACGATGTACATACATTTTCTGTCGCTGATTGCTAGATATAAAGAGTATTATCTCCTTTCTGCTCAATTTACTGAGGTTCTATGGAAAAAGGTTGGAAAACAGGAGAAGCTCGAGGGATATCTTGACCACAGTTTCACCTCACTCTTCTTCACTCTGAACTCAAGTACAAGAGCTGTTGTACCATCTCCTCTGTCAGTGCTGCTTTGGGCTTTCAGAAATTAGCCTTCTTGTGCTACCTCATGATTTATCAAAAAGTGTTATGTCTTGAAGTTCCCTTGATAATTGCCAGCTTCAACTGAAACATGTTATCTCATCGTGGTGCCAGTTTGCATCAGGTTCATTATTGTCTTCCTTTTGTGCCCCAACAGAACAGCTGGCCCAGTTAGCTGCTAGTTTAAGGAGGCCAGAGTCTGGTGTAGCTGGCTTGCCTGGAAAACCTGGACCTCCAGGGCCTCCTGGGAGTCCAGGAGACAATGGCTTCCCTGGGCAGGCTGGACCAAGAGGCCTTCCAGGACTCAAAGGGCCACCAGGAATGTTAGGAGTGAAAGGACCCAAAGGTAATGAAAGTAGTGACAAGTGTGGCCCTTTAGAGTGATGTGAGAGAATCAATTCTGAAATAAAACAATAATATGTTTGTCTTTGTGTTACAGGTGAAATGGGAGACAGAGGTTCCAGAGGGCCCACTGTGCGAGGACCTAAAGGTCAGCCAGGAGCTCCCGGACTTCCTGGTGAGTCAATTTAAAATTTTTAAATCTGCTCTTCTGTCTTAAATGGTAGGTAGAAGTCGGTCTCAAAACAATATCTACATTCTCATATGTACATTCAAACAGTTTTCTGTCGCTGTAATCATTACAATCAAAAACACTTCCAGTCTATATAAAGGCATGTGCCTGTTGTATTAAGATAGACACGAAAACATGTGATCATTTAAATTTAGCAACAAGAATCCTAAAATTAATTTTGTGATCACAGGTGAGCCAGGCAAACCTGGCTACGGTCAGGATGGTCGGGATGGACAGAGGGGACCACCTGGCGTTCCTGGACAGCCCGGTGTACCTGGACCTCCCGGAGCAGCTGGTCCTAATGGTTACTGTGACCCGTCAGCCTGCAACCTCCAGGCAGGGGCCGCCCACCAGTCTCTGGATGTGAAGGGACCCGCAGGGAACTAAGAGCCACTCTGGCAGAGACAGAATGACTGTTGGATTAGCTCCTCTGAGCACACAACATTTTTCACACTGTCTTCCAGAGGGGGCTGTGGTTGATGTGGCGCCTTCGATCCATTAACCTCTAGTCTTGTGAACATGTTTTGTGCCAAGTCCATCAGAAGGAGCCAGCCTCTTCAAGCTGTAAAAAGAAAAAACCAGCACACACAAATTTTTATGTCCTGCAAAAATCTGTCTGGTTCTGGTGTGTTTTTCTACCTGAGAGATATTTTGATATTTTCAGATAAGCGTGCTCACATTTCTGAGACGTTATGAAATGAGCAGTAATGTTTGTTTATCCCACTCTCCTTGTACCTCTGCCTGCATTTTCCTCTTTCTTTTCTTGATTTACACAGTTTTCTTGAATAAAAGCTCCTCCACATTCTCACATAACAGATCAAATAATCCCCCTTAAGCAAACTGGGATCAGGACTTTGTTTAGTGTAAGTGCCCTTTTCAGTTATTTCTGTATATGCTAATGTACCAAAGATAAACCTGCTGAAACCGACGCTTTTTATATACATTTCTTTATGTCCGACCGACTTTTGAGCCCCGCAGTTCAAAATAAAAAGGAGAGAGGATGAAATTGTCATCAAGTCACACTGACTTCAGTTTATGTTGTAAATCTGTAAAAAAAAATGTTTGAATTGTGGTTAATTATATTTCCTACAAAACAACGTGATGTGACATTTCTTTTCTCATTGTACAGAATGACAACAGAGTGCAGTCGTGCATATATGAAAATATATTTTAGGGATGAGGGAGACCCTCATTGATGTTACAAAAAGAAAACAACACATGCAGTGTTTTATTTAATTTATTCTGTACACTGGTATCATTCTGTGATTATATAATATTTTGTAACAAATGCAAAATGACAAGTCCTCAATTGTTTTTCCAAATACTGTGTAAAATCAATTATATCACAGTTAACAAAACAGTCTAACCTAAAGGTCCATTTAGTATGGAGTTTCCTCACTCATTATAGAAATGTCAAATATTCATCTTTTCTAAACATACTTTTCTATCTGATCGACATTTTCATGACAGCTGAGCAAACTGATGAAGATCATGTGATGTGATTGAAAGATCCAAGACAGCTACTGAATGGACCTTGAGGTGAGATTGTTTTGTCAAAAGCAGTCTCCAAGGTCAGGAATAAACTTCGAAACTCAAATAAAATATATAGGTTAAGGATAAGTCATATATATTTTATATATATTTGGTTAGACAAAGAAACATGTAATACAATGTCTTACAGGACACAAACTTAATTTTCAAAACATAATCTCATGTGGAACAATAATTTAAGTACAATAAAGTTTAATCCAGGCTGTGTTAGTGCTCAAAAATACAACACAAGAACACAAGAAATAAAGCACTGAATAACATTTATTGCACACGTGTAAGGCAGATGCCAACAATCAGTGTGAATCAAAGATGGTGCAAAGAAAAGAGTAAAGTTTAACCTCTGATACCTGGTAACCACATTCACACTGGATCAACCTCCACAACAGGGACATCATGTTCTTTATCGAGAGTCCGGGAAACTGACTAATACTGATGTCAACCTCCAGGACTGTAATATCGGTTTTCTTTTACACATGAGGTCTCAATTGCTTATTTTCTTTAAGCATTTTTTTTTTAAGGCACCAGTTAGTGTTGTGATATTTTTCTTTCCAAAATAGCTAATCATGTAGATGTGTGGTAAACCAAGACTGAGGTAGATATTCAATGAATCAAAGACTTTAAAAACACACACATTAAAGTCACTCAGCACAACATGAGCTTATAAAGGAGCAGAGAGGAGTTACAGTGAGAGCAGCAGGCAGACATTTTTAATCCGAGGGACCATGCTGAGGGGCTGATCCATATTCCCTCTTATTACAAGCTTATTTACAAGATTAGATTATATGTGGCAACAGGATCAACTTACTTTACTGTAAAAAGAAAAAAATAGCAAACAATAATGAAATATGTGAATGTATAAAATTGATGTTATTGTTTTAGATGTATAACAGCATTTCATTTTGAAGGATGTGTCAACCTATAACACCTCCATCCTTTCAGCTTGCTTTCATCTGACAATTTCACTTAGAATAAATGGATTTTAACTTGGAGCCATGTAACATGGCCAGCACCAAATTGCTAGTGAAGTGGGCTGTGACATCAGCAGCCATTTTGTGTCCTCCCTAGTTATCATACTGTTTAGCTAAATTGAAGTCACAAACCGGTGCACATTGATATCAATTTAAGCTAAATTCAATATGCGCAGAGAGTTGCCCCCATCAGTGCAACAAAAAGTTTGGATCATATTAGTTTGCAGATGCCGTCTCATTTTAATTTGGTCAAGGTTGGCATTACTGTCTCCAAGGGGAACCCATTAAACCGAATATGAAAATTAGTGTGATGAAAGGACAGAAGCCAATAGAAGGAGGGGGTTTTATGTAGCCTATAACCCAAAGAAAGATTGTTTTCCATTCACATTACAAGCAATGAGAAAATAAATCCATGTCCAGCAGGGGGCTCTTTAAACTCACAAATGAAGTCAGTTGCACACATCTGATCCATTACCCATCTAAAATTAGACCCACTCACACTGATAAAAACTTAACAGAGATAAAACCAAGCCTGCACACTGAGAAAAAATATCTGTAAAAAAGTTCTGCAGCTTCAAAGTGAGATGTGAGTTATAATTCACATGTGTATGAGAAGCATGAGCTTTTAAAAAAGTGTCAAACAGATCTTAAAGAATGAAATACAGATAGGGCCGGGTTCCTAATGTCACAGAATTTCAGATACGCCCACAGAACTTTTCAAACATTAATCACAGCAGGACACTTGAAAGTAAAATTAAAGCCTTTGAGTCAAACTCTCATTAAACAGCGCTCAAAATGATGATGAGGAGGAGGGAAGTGATATAAACTACACGCCAATTGTGTTTTTCTGCTATATAAAAAGGTACTTGTTTAGAGTGATTATAAAGTTTAGGTACATTTTTGGATGAACAATTTTTACATTTCCTTTTAAAAATCTTCAAACAGGGCATTCATTTCAATCCAAAGTTTCAATGCTGGGAACTTTTGTCTGCAAAGGGTGATGGTACGTAAGATTTTCATCCTTTCACATATGATAATATGATATGATAATATCAGACAGCTTGTTTAAATAAAGCTGACTCAAAACCTTCTGAGATTAAAACATAACAATGACTCTGAAACCCGTCATAACAAATTTAAAAAAATCAAAACTCCAGTCATGAGACACCCCAAAACGCAACGATACATAGCAACACACAGCGCTGGTCAGCAATGAAAGAAAAACAGGATGTAGACCATGATGCTATTAAAACAAACAACAAGAAGTTCAAGTACATGTATGAGTACATGTTTTACCAATATAAAACATCTGACGTTGTAGTGTAGTAGTCCGATTTCCTTTGTGTGGCTCGAAATCAAAAATATACATACAACAAACCAGAGGAATCATCATACACAACACTTTGTAAACAATTAAATGTTAATAATCATCTTCTCAGACACATACACACACAAAGATCTTAAATATTTGCAGCGATGTATGATTGATAACAAAAGTGAGAACCTTGATGTGTCATTGCAATGGCAACTTGCTTATGTAATTATATTGTCAGGTCCCATTACAAGCCCACTCGTCCAACTTATTTACAGAATAAACCAACAGTAAGTAGGTGAATGTGAGTCACACTCGTTAAACATAAACAACATTCAAAGTACATTCTTGTCATGTGGAAAAAAAAAAATCTGCTCTTGATGGATGTGTTTTAGACAAAAAAATCAAAAAAGATATGGCAAAGCTCAGTACAGACACAAAACCTACAGAAAATGGGAAGGCATCTTTGTCAATGATTATACCGCAGATTCCTTTTAACAAAATTATTATCATGCACAATGCAATATGTCATGAGCGATAAATTCATAACAAATCTCTCAGTAATCCAGAAATTAATCCAACATCGCAATAATATTACAGAAAATCCGTGCTACATTTACTATAATTATTATTTAGTACCATCTTTTAAATATATTCTTGAAGAACACGCTTAAAAATAAATAATTTCCATATATCAAACACATCTGCTGCACTTTGGTTGCATAAGGAGTTTCTTTTGTCTTGTTTCACACCTACATATAAAACAAGTATATTCATTCAGCTAATCTCTTTCTCTCTCTCTCTCTCTCTCTCTCTCTCTCTCTCACACACACACACACACACACACACACTCACAGGAGATGTACCTTCTGCCAGCACATTGGCTTATCTGAATAAGAACAGAAGAGTGAATAGCCATGCCCATTAAGGAGGCAAACAAATAATTAAGATCATGTTTTCAGACAGGACTGCATTTAAACAAGTCATTTCATGGTCTTGAAAGACGTAATGAGAGTTGACAAGGAATGCATTACATCACAGTAGGGGATGTGAAAACAAACAAAAGAAAGCCGACGGGAAAAAAACAAAAACAAAAAACAAAATCCTGACTGCATCTAAACGTTATTGTAAAGTGAACAAAAGAGGTCAGTTGTGAGTCTGTCCGATTAACCAGAGCTGAGGGAGCTGTCAGACACAGAGAGGCCGTTCTTCTCCTGCTCTGTGGATGCAGCACTGAGCCGGACGCCTGTCCTCCTCGAACCAGCCTGAGCTGCTCTGCTGGGCTCATAGGGATGGAAGGAGGCAGTCACTGGGGTCACATGTCCCAGGAGGTCCACGGGGCCCCGGAGAGCCAGGAGGGCCCGGAGAAGTGATCCCAGGAGGGCCTTGACACAGAATTGGACATTATTATTTCCTGCACCGGGCTGTACTTTATCATTGTTCAGTAGAGCTTTTCATTAGTGATAAAACTCAAAGCTGTGGTTTGGCAGAGCCACACATTCCCTCACATAAACACACTCAGTCATACACTGTCCATACAGACCGGCTGTACAGAGTTAGAAAAGGAGTTTGTGAAAAGCTGCATGCAGGACTATTTTCTTGGAAATGATGGTAACGGAAAAAAATGTGACTGTGTGGGATTATACGGGTTACAGTTACAGTTTACTTTATATCCACCACAGCTATTTCTACTAGAGCTAGACTGATAAATCAGGTTGCTATATCAGCCTATATTAGCTCATTGCAGATATCAGTGTTTATCTCGACCGATAAGTAACAAAATAACTGCAGTACAGAAATGCCAAATCAGATGTGAGGTAATTTAAAAAGCTGTCACTATAACATAGTTTTTCAGCTATGATAAGTTCATTTTTGCGCCATAAAATGCTCCAATCAAAATGTAAATTAAAGGATCCGTATAAAGAAGCGTATTTATGTTATGCATTTAGGTTTAAAAAAAAACCTACCCAATACATCTTTATCGGCTTTCATAAATTCCCATATATCCCACTATCAGCCTCAAACATCCAGTATCGGTGAGGATATAATTTCTATAGGACATGAATTGTCAGTATTTCAAAAAGCACAAGTGACTGAATTCTCCTATATGGTTGGGCAATAATTCAGTGTCATTGTTCATAAACTTTCAGGTGGAATTGTATCATCTGTGATGATAAGAATGTACAGTTTAGAGTTTAACTATTTCGACTAATCTGAACGACTAAATCTTCAAATATGAAGATTTACTCCTTTTCTGTGTTTTATATTGACTTTATTTAAATTGATTAAATCTTTGAGTCTTGAAAGCCCGGTAAGTCCAGTCTTGGACTGTTGGTCAGATGTCACCCTGGGCACTGAGGACTTTAATGTGCTTTTTTTCACTTTTTTTTGACATTTCATAAATTATAGCAATAAAAACAAAACCATCCGATTAATCAATAATGAAAATAATGGTTACTTTTCACCCTTATTTAGTTTGATCACTTTACAAAATGTTGTATGTTAATCTTTAGATTAATAATTTGAAAGAGAACCGCAATTACAACAAAATATCATAAAGAAGAATGTATAACATAACACTGGAACACATTTATTGCAGTGAACGAATAACCAATGATTATGTGATTTTGCATACATTTGTCATTTCCATAGTACCTATATCCACTCCATATTTAGTACATAGCTCCCTTCTCTAATATGGTGAGGTCATCATAGCAGATGAGATATTAGTATCTCATGTTACTTAGCAACAGCTTGCTGAAGTGGCAAAGCAGTGAACATTGCCTCCCTTTATCTGATGTGCTGTCCATACAACAAACAAACACAAGAACCAGTGGTAACACTTCATTCTAATGTATCATTGTAAGTCTATGAAAAGAACCCTCCACTGCAGTCCAGCGACAGGAGTGCTCATTACATCAGTCAGCTCCAGTGAGCTCTGCCTGCTCTATACTTCACACAAAAGGAATCACAGGTACTGCCTTGTCCTTTTCCTCCCTCTGAAAACACAACTTGCCCTTTTCATCATTGCCACATCCATCTCCTGCTTAACTGCTCACACACAAACTGTCCACAGTGCTTTGGTGCTTTGTGCTGTCAATACCAGAGCAAAGGTGCACCAAATAACACTCGTCGTCAAAAGTGCACTCCCAATTTGTTAAATCTGTGTGTTCAGGCTGCAAGTTTTGGTGGCTACTTCCAGTTGTTAGCTCAACCCTGTTAAGAAGCTCCAGTACAGAACTAATGCACTGCAGGCTGGCATGACTTAGCGACACCAACATCAGGTGTATCAAAGACTTGAGTGTGAAGATGTCAAATGGACATTGTGGTCACTCTCGTCATAAGTTACTTAAAACTATTAGTAGTTTTCATCACTGAGATGTTCCCAGTCTTTTCTCCAAAGTTGTATTACCCCCTGAGAATCAACAACACTGACGTTGTGGCTTTTGCTCCCTGATTGCAAAGCTGATAAGACTGAGTTATGTGAACCTCCTGTATGTGTCTTGTATGTCCCAGTCTCCATGAACCTGTGGGTGATCCAGGGGGGAATCTGATCTTTGTGGAATTCAAGCGATACAAGTTGTCCCTCATTACGATGGCCTAGTGACAGATATGTTCCGTTGTGCAGAGACTTCTAAATCTACAGTAAGTGCTCAGGGAAAACCAGCCCAGTGGCTCAGCACATTCATACTGTAGCAGTTTGTTCAAGTACTTTCCAACTTTTTCCAATATGTGAATACATCTGAGGTCAAACCCCAGCAGCTGTGCTTCCTATCACTGTGGCCCCTCTAGAGATGATGTCTTTCAACAGCCGCGATTTGTCCTCTCAAGAGGAGCTACAGCCAAGTTCCCTTTGCCCAAGACATGCATTATGCACATACATAGAAAGGATGAGTGACTTTAGGTTCAGTGATAGACTCCTACTGTCACAGCCTTTACGTCAGTGAGGTAATCCCACTTCTCATTGCTCCATCAGAGTATAGGGAGTCATTTAATAGTTCACAGGAGCAGGGGACAAGCTGACATCTTGGGTTGTGCTCAACTTTAGTTCAGGTCAAGCTGTGTCCGTATTTGACAGAACGGACGTCACTGCTGCATTTTGTCTTCTATTGGGGTCCCACTCATGTCACAGTGGCACATGAGTTTTAAAAAAACACAATGCCATCTGGGAGCTGTATTTATCTCCAACATGCTAGGATATTAAATGAAGGCTGAAATAGAATTCCTTTCAGTGGACAGGTAAGAAAAGCTGACAAATAGCGGTGGATGTGGAGGAAGCAGGGCTGTCAATGCAGTGCCTGGTCATTCCATGACAAATGTGGTATAATTGAAGCATGAATGGCTCAACCGCCAGAAGTGCTCTTATATATAGGCACAAATACTGTACCTCCCAAAGTTTTACTGGTCTATGGCTGGTGGTTATTGAGTGGTAGAAGTAAGATTAAAAACAGCAGTCATTTCTTTGTTTTTGTCACCGTGGGGGTGCGGGGAGAGTGCAAGAAGCTATAAACACAACATTGACATATTATAACAGAAATGAAGCAACACTGGCATTCATTTGGAGTTCTGTTTCCACCAGATGAATGTATGTCCAATATTCACTCTCTGTTTAGCTCTGTTTTGGTCTCCACCAACTCCTGAGGGAAATATCTGTCTTTTTAGCAGTATAAGGCTCCACCATGTGCACCTGCTAGTTGGTAAATCTGTCTGCAGTTTGGTGCTGGGCAGGTAGCTTATAATGGGTTAATCACAATCTTTTACGCTAGCAAAATGGCCATCTGCTGTGACTGTAAACAATGTTGATAAAAGTGTTGAGAGTAAACCAAAACAGTAACGCTGCAGCCCATAAAAACAAAACAATGAGCGTAAAATGCTCCATAGAGCTGAGGGGAACTGAGGGTACTGATAAGTCTCTGTGGGTTCATCACAACGAATTACCATTTTTTTGTTACAGGATCAGTATCAAAATAGTGTCTGCTTAAGTCATTTGATCCATTGTTATAATATAAAAATATTGAAAGTGCAGCTTCAAGTGTGAAGTTAAAGAAATGTTTCTGACTTCCACAGTCTCACTCTTTCCTTTCCTTTGTTTGCTCAACCATTAGCTCAAGCGTCCGTTTGACCACATCCTTCAATACACATAGATTCATCACATAGTGTGTCCAAACTATGACTCACCTGGTGGCCCCATAACTCCTGGATCTCCTGGTAACCCCAGACCAAGCTGGCCTCGTTCTCCTTTCTGACCCCTGTATCCTGAGGACAGACACAACGCTTTGGCTGACTACAAATACAGCAAAAATGAAGTAGAACTGTGTATTCATGGAGTGTGTTGTACAGTTAGTGAGATTAGTACAAATGCCATAACACGAGTGTACACTTTTTGCAACCATTATATCTGTCCAGAGACTCATAAAGATCAGGTTCTCGATGATATAAATGTCACCGACACAACAGCAATGTCAGGCATCAAGTCATGTCTTTAAGCAGCTTTGGTAGTTGATGTAGAAACAGTCTACTTTGGATTTCCAGTTTCAATCCCAAGCCACTGAATAATGAAAGACATACTGACATCTCATCAAAATAGAACTCAAACAAGCCATCTGTGTGTTAGTGTTCGAAGAAGAAGGCATTGTGTGCTTGTACAGCTTTCTGTCAACAACAGGGGCACAAGCGCATGTCTTTGAAGATTTCAAAAGAGAGGAAAGAGGCTTTTTACAATCAGAGGTCAGATATGTGGGTCACTAAAGGCACCCAGAGGGTGAAAAGATATGCCTAATCAAAGGTGGACTCATTCAATGGGAAACAAACAGGTGCAGCAGATGCAGAAAACCATTTCTATTCATAACAACTAGACTCACTTCATTTGGTGAACATAAACATGATCATAACAGTTAGTGTATAAAAACTCTTTTTAGCCACAGGAACAAAAACTACATTATTTTATGTTAATATTACGTTTTTACATGGACCTTTTCTATGATGGTGATTGGCTGCTGCATGATTTCCTCTAAGATGGAAAAAAACAAGCAGGGATGAACACAAGGACATGCTTAGTCTGTCAAAAAGAAGGCTGATGAGTAAAACAGAATCAAAGCATTTGCATTAATCTTCAAGTCAGGCCAAGAAACGTGTTGCTTCCAACAATATGCACACAAACATATTATTCAAATGCCTTCTCACCCCATGCAAAGCCGCTAAGTCTTTACAGTTCAAAACAGCAGCATACCAAGTAAGAATTTGAGGGGCTGCGAACATTTCTTCCCCACGAGGCACTTAAAGTAATGGAGTCTCAGGACCAGTGGTTGCATGGAGTGCATCAGAAACATTGACAGGAGAATCAAGCATTGCACCGCCTTGCCCAAAGGGGAAACGCTCCAACGCTTACATGTCAGAGAAAATCTTAGAAAAAAGGCTTATGAATGCTCCAAAACGGAGTCTCAAAGAGAGAGGGGCTATCCACACATTGCCGCAATAATGAGACTTCTTTCAACACTCACAGAGCCTGGGGCATTCATTCAGGGAGGAGACGTTCCATGGAGAAAAGAGCACTGTACCTTAAGCAAAAAAAATACTGAATAGCACACAGGGCAATAAGCTTGGGTGGCACGCTGGATTGGTGCAATAAATCGAAGATGCCATAATGCATCTGTACTTGGCTGAAAACAAATTGTTTCTAAGGCCACTAATGGACCAGATACGTTAATAGAAAATAATATTGCCACAGAGTGCTTTTTCATGTTTGATTGATAGGATTGCAGCCCTGCACCTGTTGTAAACAATATCAACATGAACATCTATTTATTTGTGCTATGCCTTACAAAAGAAAATAAAAAGAACCACCTTTCTTTGAGCAGCTGCTCAATCAAAGACCAATTACTGTGGGATATTTACTGATATTTCCATATTGTACAGCACAAAGCAGAGCAGCTCTGAAACAGAGTTTACAGCCTGAAATAATAAAACACACTTTGTTTCTGTCACTATTAATAAATATACAGAATGCACTGAAATACAAAATCAAAAATAAATGTTATGACAACAAAATGTAGAGTTGATGAAATATACACTTAAACATAAAGACTTACATCAGTGAGTATTTTCATTACGATCTCAAAAGTTAAAGATGAATAGAATGATAAATGAGCACTCAATTACAACAAAAGAGGGGGGGAAATAAAAAGAAAAGAAATTATGCTTTTCAGCATATGTCCTTGTGGGTATTCACTAACAGCTTTCACCCATGTCAAATCAAACCATGAGGGGAAAAAAGACTGTGAATTCAACAGAGGGGTTATTTTTCTCCATAAACAATTCATTTTGGCATATTGTAGAAGAAGTCAAATTGGATATTCCAGAGGAGCACAGTCTCCAGCAGAGGATGACGAGAAATAATGAGGAAATATTACCCCAAACTCTCTCCCCAGCTGAGTGGAGGCACAAGTCAACAAAGAAAACATTAAGAAGTTGTTGAATTGTTGATTTATCAAGGGAAATAACTTTCCTCTTTATTTTCAATAAATATTTATTGCAAAGCTGCATTAAGAATCACCTATAAAACACTCGTTTGAAGCATAGAAAAATAAAACAAGCTAAAAACAATCCAAGACATGTGTAATGCAAATGGCATTAGCACAGTACAAATATTTATAGTCGAGTAGTTGCCTACTTGAACTACATTATTCATAAATGAAAGCAGCATTTTATATTATAGCGGTGGGTTAAAGTGTAAATGGTCTTGAATAATGTGAGGTAGATACAAAGCTCAAAGGGAAAGGCCAATGCAGCGGTGCTTTGATCTGCACCGACACTGTGACACACTCATCCTCTTCAAAAGTTACCATAGTTTTGCCGCGGACACAATACAAATCTAAGCTTGAGGTATAAAGCCTGACCAGCAAACCATTAGTGTTATATGAGCAGTCAGGAAGTTATATCAGTTTGATAAAGAACGTCCACCCTCTTTCCTGACTATGCTCCTTTTGCACTTTAGAGGCTTTCTTTTCGGGAGTGAGGTATCAATACTGGGGCTCTTTCCTGTCCACATTGATAATACTTTCTCTTATTCACAGCCAATTCTTCTGTTTGTCTTCATATTTCCCAGAGAGCCGCTGTGCACCACACTCCTGGCCTTTCCTCTGCTTCCCGCCCCTCAGTCTGCATTGATATATGGGTCTAAGCAAGAGAGAAATACCCATGAATCCCTACAAAATACACGTGTCAACCTGCATTGGTGCCCCCACCCCAGTCTCTAGTGTTTCATCCATACAGAAAGACATCTTTAATTGCAGGCTGTTGCCGTTCTCTCTGCATTGTCCATGCCAACCTGCAGTTTTGTGTATACAGTAGTAAATGCTGCCTCTTTTAAATATACATGTGTGGACAGCATATGGTAGTTAGACTAATTGGTATGTGTTAAACAACAATGAGGAGTACATATTGGTGAGGCTACATACATAGATTACAATTACACCAGACAGCAAAGGGTTAATTGAGTTTCACTAATAGTTGAGCAATAAAAGGTTAAGAGTGTTATTTCTAATAAATGTTTTGGCAGAAGTGGTTATTTTTCTGAGGTGGTGTCAACATCCAGCAGTTCAGTCTGGCAGCCGCAGCTCCTACCTGGGGAACCAGGAGGTCCGGGCTCTCCTGGCGGGCCTGGTAAACCGTCATTGCCAGGAGGTCCTGGAGGCCCCTGGAATTGTGAAGCTAAGATTCCTGCAGGCGTCTTCTGTGGCATGGCGGCGCTCAACAGTCTCTCTGCGAGGTTAGACAAATGAAAAATTCATATTCAGCATGAAGAAAAACAGAATAAAGATAATGACAAAACATGTAAAAAAAAAAAAAAAAACATGGAGCAGTTGGTACCTTCAAAGACCCTCAAGACTTCATTTCTGACCAACATTTTGAGTTCAGCCATGAAGCTGGGATCCCCCTGTTTGTGCGATGGCAAAGAATACAAACTTCACTGAAACATTTTTATCAACAATAACAAATAAAATGCAATTAAGAGACAGTAAGTCATCTCTCAAAGTGAACTGCTAGCAGAGTAGATACAGTAGTTATCACAGCATGAATTAAAAAAAGGATGCCTGACACAGCTTGTGTAAACACCTGTGCTGACAACAATGGCTTAGAGGAGGGACTGCAGCTACAATTCACATTTGTTTGTTAGGTAACTATTCAGTAACATTCCACCTTGCATCATAATATAACATATGTGTCTAAAATCCAGCTAGAAATAAAATGGATTCAGTCGGAGAATATTAAATTAGATATTATAACTCTATAAAGAGACTTCTTGATGTTACTTTATGTCCGATTCTCTGTGCAGCTCTGTTTATGTCTAAATGTATGTAAGTGTTATCAAAGCAAATATATCACAACATATTCTTTGCTACTCAAAGGACTATAACATGGGCTAAAAGAAGACAATTCATGTCAGTTGCAGCTGCAACAGTAACAATGGCAAACAAGAGTATCCTTGGACCTTGAATCACTGCATTCAAAACAGTTTTTCATCTCTGCTATTGGATATTACATAACTGCTGTGACTGCGTACAGTATGTGTAAAATGCCTGTGACACACGGAGGTGTTTTCACTGCTCTGCAGAGCTTCAGGCACACCCACATATCTCTGTCTTTCTCTCTGTCTCCATCTCTCTCCCTCTCTGACCTTCTGTTGCGCCTAGATGAGGAGTGGGAAGCGGAAAAAAAGAGAACAGCAACCTCCCTTGCACAGCCTTGTTTGATGTTTGATGCAGAAATCTGTAGCTGCACCATTTTTCTATACAGGGAACTGAACTAGTTACACAAGCTCAGGAAGGAGGTAGGCTGATTAAGGTTTTAATAATCTGGGAGAGCAGTCTTTGTTTGTTTCTGAAAATTTACAACTTACCAAGAAGTTTGCACTCCCCAACTGTCCTGGAGGGCCAGGATCGCCCCTTAGCCCCGTTGGTCCGATTGGTCCAATAGGGCCAGGATCTCCTATGCGACCCCTCTCGCCTTGAACGCCTCTTTCTCCAGGAATCCCAGGATCACCCTGCAGTAAAGAAGCCCAAACATATTTCAGCTCTATATGATGAAGACCAAACTGTATCAAACAGTATCTGGTTGTGTTCTACAGTATAAGTTACATTTCCTGGCTGGCACAAGCTGCACTACAGTCACTATCACTATTTCCAGGCCTGACTGTATCCCTTAACATGCCATGCACACTGACCTATTTCTCCTAATGTGTCCAGTCAGTCACCTGTCCTGAGGTTCTGTTGCCAACTGTAAAGCTAAAAGCCCCATTTTGCATCCTCTATTTGCAATAGATTACAGCGGAACTGTGACAGAGCTCTTTAATTTTGCCTTGCAAATACAATAGGAAAACTGCACTGAGCGTTAAATTCCTTTATCTAGTGCTTATGTGCTTGTGGGGATTAGTCATATTTGTGCTGAAGTGAAGACTTTCATTACTATTCATCAAAACCTTTTTTTGTGCATCATAGTCTCAGCCATGAAAACAGCTTCTTTTTAGGAACACAGGAATGACGCTACTTACACGTTCTCCTTTGGATCCTCTGTCCCCTGGTCTACCTGTCGCTCCCTTGGTGGGGGGGGAGCAGAGAAATATATTTTAAGGCTTTGTTGTCATCGTAATAAACATCTGAATAATTGGAAAAAGAAATTATACTGACCCTGGAGTATTTCACCCACTACACACAAAGTATGATGTTCAGCAACATTGAGGGGCACAAGCAATACTTATTTAATCTGTACATGTGAAGCAGAGATTTCTATTATTTAAGCCGCCATATTGACATATTGCTCATATGTACTCTAATATTTGCAGATGTTTCTGTTCTGTTGCCTGAAGAAAAAAAAGCTGTGAGCATCCTGAATTACTTGACTTTGAGAAATTTTCTCACTTTTCAGATGACTGTGCATTGATTGCTTCTTACTCAGCTCAGGTGCATTGCTTGTATAATATATCCCTGTATAGTGTTTCACCTTCTGCAATGTCACGGCTTCTCTGCATCACTCCTGTTTCATATGAGAAATGCCTGCTTTCCCATCAGCTGTCTCTACTGTACTGTGGAGCTGGTAGAGAAAATACCTGTCTCTGGCTTCATGTCACAACATCTTGTGTCTTCCAATCCCTCTCCCTGTCACTCCTCATTGCTTCCCTTTACCATGCTCACAGCAATACCTCTGGGAGCATCTTTGTATCAATTTCCTCCTGGATTACAGGAGCCATGCAAAAGACAATCTGGCATGATGTGGTTTTAAAACGGGCATCTCTTTGTGATGCTGTTCTCCCCTGCCTGCTTTAATCTGCAGTACTCTGTATTCCCCAATGCCTGATGGGAGGCTTAAATCTATCATCTTGCCCACTGAAATGTGCTTCCCTGAGCATTACATTAAACCTCAAAGCAGTGTGCAAAGAGTCTGACTAGAGGAGCAAAGGCACCTGCTAGATGGCACTGTTGCCCCATCAAAAAGTCAGGCACCGTGGCAGAAAAGCACAAGGATAAAACTGTAGAAGGACTCTATGCAATGCTGAGATTTTGGTAGAGGAATATTAACTAATATCAGAAAAGAAAAAGAAAACAATAAAATGTTGAGGCTGTCACTGAGGTGTTAGGTGACGCAAATCTTGTAAATCAGAGAGCAAACATTAACACATACATACACATAGTCAAACCAGGTTGGTATTAGACCGTGTGATGTGTTAGGAATGGCTATTAATAGCAGATATGTTCTGCATGCTGAGAACCCATTCAGTGTGATTATGTAGTAAATAGTGTATAATATATTTGATCAGCCACCTAAAAGCAGACATTGCTGCAGTATTTGTTTCAATTTTAGCCAGATTCATCAGGGAGGAAAATACATATTTAATCTAAGTGTCTACTGCCCTCTATTACAAACACTTCATCATTGCCTGAAAGCATTAACTGTATAATTAGGGTAAAAAGACTAAAAGTCAACAAAGCCTTAAATCTGCAGGATTCCATTCAGTTTTTATCGTTAAAATCTCAAATATGCAAATAGGTTTAATGCACTCAGGATGCGGTAGCTTGAGGGGGGGGGATAAAAATCTGCTGTGCCATCTTTCTGTGGCTCAGCTGATGTAAAGCACTTTCTATAAGGGGATTTGCAATGTGTTCGCACAACTCACCTTGTATCCAGGAGTTCCATCTTTTCCAGGTCTCCCCTGCTCAAGGAGTGCAGCACAAACAAAGACATTTTGTATAAGCTCCCACCTTCGATTGGATCAGCACTGTTGCACTCCTAGTAATCTCCACAGTTAATGAGATATCTCAACCAAGGGATAATGATCCTGATTGCTCTGCGAACACTGTTCCATTGTGTGCTTACAGGGAAAATTACAGAAACCATCTCTGATGGTAATTACATAGAGGAATGTAATCATCTACAGGACAAGTGATCGCTAACATACATATTTGATCCATATTGTACTTGAATCATGTTCTTTTTTTTGGTAAAACAACCATGGATAAACCTGCTGATGTAAAGGAGCAGTGTGGGATTCAAAGCCCTATTTCCTTTTTGCATCAATGAAAAGTTCTTTGGCAACACCTAGCAGTGATTATAGGGAAGAGCAACAGAATTCATGTAGCATCCTTACAGCAACACCATGGGGTCCCTCGGGCCCTGGGAATCCTGTCTCTCCGAGCGGCCCCCTCTCACCCTGTCAGAGAACAGAGACAGCCGATGTGTCAGTCGTCGGTGACAAAGGTATGACACACGGATTGACAGCTCAAAGAGAGTTAGAGGCTGCGGCTCACCGGCTCTCCTGGGATCCCTGGCTCTCCACGAGTGCCGGGCTTCCCCTGTCAATCACAAACACAGGAAGAGAACAGGCCGTGTTTGACAGGTCCTCAATGTTGTCTTATCTACAGCACCTCTGCAACCTCCCATTTAGCTATACCAACCAGCCTACTATAACTGCACAGAAAATCCACTGAACAGACCGTAGGTTTATATCCAAGTTCTTAATCAAAGCTGTATTGTGTTATGGGACTTCTGTTTTGATAGGTGCTACTCTGCATACTTTTTGAAACATCATCAACTTGTTGCCAAGACTTAAACAACACAAATGAATGATCAAGGAGGAGTACATGTCAGCGTAAATTAATTAAAAAATAAGAATCTCACTTACTGCAGGACCTGTCATCCCAGGTGGACCAGTCAAACCAATATCACCCTGAAGGAAACGTTGTAGACATGTCAGATAGATGACATACACATTGCAAAGAACACACATAAATCACTGCCATGTCATGTAGACACATAGATACTGATGTCAGAAACTGCCTAAACTTGGGTATAATGAATGCTCTTGGACAAATGCAACATTCACTTAAAAACACTCTAAGTTTCTACTGAATAGGGAGTTATGATAAACAGCCTTCTTATGAACTTAAGTCTTCTTCATATTTCATAAGCAAACGCTTTGCATATGTCATACCTAAAAGGATAAATGACTCTGGATGTCACAGAAACTGAAACGTTCCACCCCTCAACACATACTCACTCACACACACATACACACTGTCAATGCGAATTCAGATGTAGGAAGTTGTGAAAAGTTGCACACAGGGCTTGTTTTATTCCAGTAAGGAAAATGCATCCAATAGTAGCATTTCATTATGCAGGTGGATGACTATTACATAAACGCTTTGGCTCTAAATTGCTGTGGTATTGCTGTACATCCAGTTCAGAGATTTCAACCTGAAATTCCTTCAGTCGATTTCAAAAAAAAAAAAAAAGAAAAGAAAAAACTCCCTAGTGACTGAATTCTCCTAAACATTATTATTTTCCCTTAGGTTGACTCATAACTTCAACAGGAACAAATTATGTGTTTCACTTTCACTCTGGCAAGCATTTAAAAAAAGTAAAGTTTTTTAGCCTAATATTCCATTTCAGAAATAAACTGACTAAATGTTCTGTAATACGAATGAATTACAGAGAAAGCACTTTCCCTAACTGTAACCTAATCAGGTTAGGCTGATGCCGTTGCTTACCTTTGCACCAGGTAGCCCATCATTCCCGGGTAATCCCATGGCCCCTGGTTCCCCCTATGACAGAAAAACACACCACCTGCTGAGGTCAAGACACTACTAATATACACTAAGGGTTGTTAGTTCCCCCTTTTTGCAACCAAGAATGATGCTATTTTTGTCTCCCTCAGTAGGAGGGTGAGCTTGGTGATGAGCTACCGAAAGGTAAAAGATATCATTATAAGGCTGTCAGTATGCATAAACAAGCAAATATAGATCAAAGCTGTATGAAGGCAAGTAAATTAAATTCTGCAGGAGCCATGATTTTGCACATTTCCATCTCTCTCTTGATATTCTCACTCAGATATTATTAATACAACCGTTCATGTGTCAATATGGAGATAATCCTAAGAGGACAATACTTCAGCCGGCGTATATTATATGATCTATGACACACGCTGTCACACCTAGTAGTCTATAGATGGGATAGAAAAGAGCCCCATTTGACAATCACAATCAGACTTGCTTTCTGCACTAAAAATTGAGGCCCATTCCCAGTGCGGCGAACAAGTGATGGCCTCTATCTACCTCATCTTCTTCAAGCTGCCACGGAGAAATGCCATTACACAGAATAGAGGGGCAACCGGTGCTGACATAGACGGATAGTGCAGGTAATTGTCACACATGTAGATTGTCATGAATAAGCGAGTGCGGCTAAGGGGAGGGTGGGCCAGCCAGAAGATCAGCTGTGAGACGGATTGGGGCAATTCCACCACAGCACCGGAGCCGCTCACACAATTTATTAAAATGTCAAATTAACATCCTGGTGAAAAATCACTGTGCAACAAAACAATAAAAAATGCAATTGGCCCCGTGAGAATAAAGAATTCAAGTTGATGGCAGAAGCACCGAATTGTTTCCATGTCTGTGTGGATTGTGTTCAGTCGTCAGTATGGTGGTGGTGGTTGGGATTTTAAGTGCAGAGAGTGTTCATAGTTTCCCACTGGCAAGACAATATGGAGCAAAGGTTTCATATCTGCAGGAGACGTGATCATTTTTTTGCTGTATGTTGGACTTCTACTGAGAGTGGTTAAGTGATCAGGCTTGAGGGTGTATTGACTTATGTTGTAGAGAACCACAGAGACAATGATAGAAAGGAACTGGCAACTCTGACTTCTCCATTTCTGGGGGCTACAGCAACAGAAAATAGACAAATATTTCATTAAAATACATTCCAGAAGGAAAAGCCTCAACTCACTGCAGGTCCTTCATCTCCTTTGGGACCCTTGAGAGACAGAGAGAGACAGAGAGAGAGAGAGAGAGAGAGAGAGAGAGAGAGAGAGAGAGGACAGATTACTCCCATAAATGTGACAACTACTACCATACAAATCATAAATATAGTCTGAAATGACATGTGGCTACTGTATGTTATTGTCATTAAAATTAATAGTATTCATTATTGCCTCTCTTTTCTTGCAATTTCTGTCTGTAAATCATGCTCCCATTGTGTTATATGTACCTGTGGTCTTTCTCAAGCAAGATTAATCAGTGATCAGGATCACATAATCCAGTCTGGTTATCACACATGCTTTTAATAACACTGACCATGCAGGTTTCACTTCAAGCATTTCAGCATTTTTCCACATTAATAAAACAAGGAGTAATTGATAAATAGGGCCCCTTAACACAGATGAAGAGGCTCTCTTATTGATTGCTCCAGTGGAGCTGTAGGGCTGTGATGGATGCAGTATAGGCAAAAGCATCCTCAAGATTTAAGCTGTGGTTCATGTGTATTGTGCACTGGGGATATTGGAGTGTCTATTTTATGTCGCCACCTTTAACGTTTGGTTGTGGTGGATGGATCCCTGCAAGGGCTGTGAGTGAATGTCTCCCAGGACTGGGCACGATTACAAACTGTCTGATAAGGAGGAGCAGGGGGAAGCTGATAAGCAAAATCGGGTCACTTCGGCTTGGAACTGTGCAGAGCAACTGAAGTGAAGTCCATTTTGCATATCAATGATGTGGTGTGTCCTGGGGCAGGTCAGAGACACCTGTTTGAGAGTCAGGAAGCCTCTTGGCCGTCACCAACCACCAGCTCTCAGTGAACATGATTGACTGTGATAGTTCCTCAGACGCCGAGATAACACTACTCAGGCTACTCAGGTTTTTTGTTATTCAGCTCTCCCAGGTTCTGCGGCTCTTACAATATCAACATGCTTGTGTGCTAGTGTTTCTTCAAAGTACACAATAAAGGATTTGCTTCAGGCATACCAGTGATTATGCTTACCGGGGCACCAGGAGCTCCAGGGGGTCCTAAAATAGCTCCACCACTCTGAAAAGACATTTTTTCATATTATGAGTATATTTTACAATATGGGTCAAACACATTTTAACCACAAGCACAGAAACTTTTCTGCCAATATGTCAGATACCATGCGTTCAATGGATCACACTGACATTATTTGAGTTAAAGTCCTTTACCTGCAGCTTGTACAGACTGCTCATCCCATTGCCCTCCGCACTGGGCACGCCCTAAAACACAATCAGCAGCAATTTAGACATCTCCTCTCAGAGACTATCCTCACTGTTCTGTGAGTTTCAGGCACCAAGAGTCTTTACAGAAAACTGTACAGTAGGTCTGGAGCAGTTATACACTGTTAAGCCCTTAAAAGCTACATGAGAGAGATCAATAGCTCATTTGGTGATTACACAAAGAGAGGAGAAGAGCGTGCGAGAGAGTGAGAAGTGAAAAGAACAGGAAAAACAGAGAACAGTAGACTTAATAATCCTTGAGCCAGCGTTAATTCAAAAAACGAGAGTATCTAAGAAATACAAAAGAGCACACTGATTAAAAGAGATTTGGGTATGAGAACTAGGTAATCTACACTTCTTGGGTAGTATTAGATCATAAAAGAATGTTTTTCCCATGATAGATTGGTAGAGGGCAGCTATTGTAAATGTAGAAGGAGTCAAGGTTCTCATTTAGAAGCAAGCGGATGCCTGTGCCCTTTTCAGGCCACTGAGCCATCCCCTGTCCTCCCAGACTGCAGTTTATGAGACCAGGGTGTGTGTGTGGGGGGGGGGGGGGGGGGGGGGGGGGGGGGGGGGGGCACGGCAGGTTCAAGGGGATGGTTGATGAATTATAGATTTGCCTTTGGAAGTGCTTACTCACTGGCCTTTTAAAGGGAGGGAACATGATTCAACGTCAGTGAGCAGGTCGCCACAATTTCATCACATTTGTACATGTTTGTCAGTTACGTTTTTCTTGTTACCCTAAATACTATTAGACTGGGCAGAATATAAGTGTACTGATGGTCATTTCTGTGGGAAAGTGCTGCCAAGGCAAAGGTTTGGCTCTAACCTTCACTTCATCATGGGAAAATAAATTCTTTGCTGATAAAAGCAAGAGGAAAAAAAGTGTGTTGAATAGATAGCTATAAGTCTGTAACCTTGAGATTTTATTAACAGAATGAAGAACGTCGGTTTGTGTAACAAAATGATAAAATGTTTTTAAGCATACTTTGGCCCGATTTACTAACATCCCGAATAAAGAGTACTAAATTGCGTGTGTATTCTAAAATATTGCACATGCAATTTTAGTACCTGTTATGGGTGATCAACTAAGCAGATCGTGCTTCATCCAGCCAGAAGGAACAATTACCGACAGTCCGCAGCGCGCCCGGTTGCTCCACGATCTCCTGTCCTTGGCCCTGTATGCCCCATTCCCTCTCCGATACACTACAATGGGTTGTGTCGCTATTACGACCGACTCGCTGTGAACAGTTGGTGATCGTTCCCTCTGGTTGGATGAATTTTACACATAAACCATGCACTACTGCAGCTCGGGCTTCTCCGCAGCGCCACGCAATTTTCTAAATTCTTCCAGCTCACGGAGAAAAGAAGTCAGGTTGAAACGAAATTAGCTTTATTGGCATCAGTGTTAATACATCATTGCCAAAGCTTCAAGGAAAATACAAAAAAACTATTCAATTCATATAGTTCATTGAATATATAAAATAAAACAATTGTATTTCAATACATTGGATATACAATAATATTATCTAATATTGTTAATTTCTCTATGTTTTCTTTCTCCTTCTGGCAACAATAACAGCAGCCATCTCTGCGCAACACTTTCCGGTTTGCACCTTCCTCTCAAACGTATTAAATACAGATGCCGTTGCACTCACATGAAATTGCGTTTAGGCTTGGTGCTAGGTGCTATCTTGCACTTTTGAAAGACGTCCTTCAGCTTACGTGTTAATTCGCTGGTGATATCAAGTTTGCACATGTTTTCACTCATGCAAACCTTTAGTAAATCTGGCACATAGTGCGCTGTGAACCATTACCCTATCGGAGGTTTTGAGACTTGTTACCACTATCTGGCTCTTGCTGAGGCGGGAGGAACTTACCGGAGGCCCCGGAAGTCCTGGTCTGCCTGGCGCTCCTTCATTCCCCTGCCAAACACAAACCAGAGGAATTCTCAAACATGTCAGATGTCAGTCAAATGGAAATGTTTATCAACCACAGGCTAATGTAATCCAATGGTATGGAACCTCATTTGCCACTTTAAGATTCCTTGAAAAGATCTGGTTTGCTACACTTCTAACTTTATAATCTTTATTACAGGAGCTGGAGTCTCTTGGGGCACGGTTTTGGGGTTTTTGGTTTTTGTATTTCCTGTCTTAGTTTGTTAATCACTTACTGTCTTTGTGTTTCTTGTTCTTTGACCTTGATTACATTTTGTTTTGTCTTGTCATTCATTTGTTCCAGGCTTCCTGTTTTATTTTGACATTATCTGCTGCTGATGTCATTGTCTAGCGTTGCTTTCTGTCTGTCAAGCATTTCTACCTGTGTCTAATCACCCTGCCCTCTCTGTCTCTGTATTAGTCTGTGTGTTTTCTTTGTTCCTTGTCAATTCGTTTCCTTATGTTGTCGTGTGTCTTTGTCTGTTCCCGGATTATTCTGTTATGTTTTGGATTTACTTATGGATTTCATGCTCCTTGGATTTCTGTTTGTATCTTTTTTTGGATTTGTTAATATCTTGGTCTGCCTGCCTCATCTGATCAAACCAAGATCACTTGAATGAAACACTTAGAACGGTACCTAGTCTGCCTAAGTGTTCCGTATTTGGGTCCAAACCCTCTATTCCTGTGTCTATGCTTGGTAATAACCTAGCAAAATGTATGATAAATCTGCTTTTATGGGGAAAGAATTTACAGAAAGGTTATTTATATACTCTTAGTCAAGACCATTTATTTATCATAGGCTCTGAGCCATGGTATTCTACTAAACATATCATAGTCATACACTGTATACTGTATATAAAACCTATGAAGACACATACACCACATACATAAATAAATGGTAAAACACGTTACCTTTTCTCCTTTTCCTCCCACTTGGCCTATTGGCCCGGGTCTACCCATAGGCCCCTACAAGTAGAACAGCATCCTTACAATGAAATTTGGTTTAAGCATTGACCCTGCGAAAGAAGCCTTGCGCAAGTCGTGATTAAAAAGACCTTGTTATGAAATAATGAATGAGATTCTGTATTATAGCAGACCACATGAGGTAAAGGCTTCTTACTTTGGCCCCTGTACGACCAGTAACACCAGGAAGTCCTGATACTCCTGGAGGCCCCTGGAGGAGACATAGTGGATCATCATTTGTTGAACAATTTCTTGCTTTAAAAAAAAAAAAAATTACATCCATATTTCCCTGGACTTACAGTATACCCCTTTAAGTCATTCAGAAACATTACACATAAGAAAAAATACAGCTGTAGGAGAGCTCAATCATTATCTAGATGTGGATGTTGTATTTGAAAGGTAAGATCTACTTCAATGTGAACACCAAGCAGCTCGCAATTTTACAGACGTCTCGTGTATGCAAAGTAAAACATCTTTAATTACAGTCACTCTATATGCAATATGTCCATCTATGGCAGTGATGGATATAGTGTAGTGAACAGGCAGTAATTCTACAGGGCCAGATGCCCACATCACCTGAGCAAATACTTTAAACCCAAGGAGTAAGGTGTAATTTATTTGTCCATGTCTGATCAAACCTGTTTTCTTGATTCCTGTAATGGCTTTCCAGGAATCCAATTCCGACTACTCTAGAGGATGAATTAGAAAACTCTTCTATTCACTGCAGTGACTGTGTTGATATTTTCTTATCTTCGTAACACCCTTAAAAATGTCTGTGGGGCATGTCTACATGTGGCATCTTTATTAAGTGGTTAGGTCTTTCTGTACTCTTTGTTGTATATTTTACAGATCACAAAGCATGTGTTTCTTTCATTGATTTGTTTTATCACAAAAAAACTCAACATGGCTAAAACCATGTTATAATTGAGCCTGGACTGTCTAGAAACAAGTGTGCCTGTTAGTGAAAATCTCCTTCCATTGCACTTCAATGCTGAAAGTTGACCTATGAAATGCTTCTCAGCTCCTCTAAAGAGTGCCTTGTTTTTTAATTAGCACACACACGCATGCAGGGCATACAGGTTCTATAAAGTAGGTCCTCTGAGTGTGAATGATAGGGCATAGTGCACACGCAGCACTGTGCTAGCTTTTGATTGCTTCTTTTGAAAACTGACTTTCAGAGCAGACAGGCTGTAAAATGAGGCAGACATTACAATATATTTACATTCCTTTGAAAAACCTGCCTCTCAATGTCACAGTGGCTTCTGGATGGTAAGATAACTGCTGGATTCATTTGTTAAGATTGAACTTTTTTCACTCACCTCATCACCTTTTTCCCCTGTAGGGCCTTGGAACCCTCTCTCTCCTTTTACACCCTGCAGGGAGGCAAAACCAAGGAGGGAAAGAAGAGTGAATGCTTTTCACCAAAGGCCTAAAACTCAAGGCTGATGGGTGTAAACTTCAAAATGTCTCTTCCCCTCTTACAGCACATGCCTTGAAAATGCCTTGCCTGTATCGCTGTGGTACAACACTGTATCCATAGCAACATATTCTGCAGTGAGCGCATACGGGTGTACAGAATAATGTGAGGTGTAGAACAGCTGGTGAGGCTTCCAGAGATAATCCAAAAGACAATTTATGAAAAGTGTTTGTCAATGCTAATCTCTATATACTAGATTAAACATACATTTCAATAAACACTATCATAGAAGCTGAATCGTTTATTTAGATCCACACGCATTACATTAAAGATGTGTTTTATTATGTACTGAGGATATTTACAACTAATATTCCCATGCCTACCTTTGGGCCTTCTTTCCCAGGGTTACCCATAGGACCTCTTACACCAGGATCCCCCTGTTTAGGATACAAGTACACTCTTAACATGGTTGTAAGCACACACATTTAATAAGCAACAACTGGAGGAGATTTAACAAGTTTCATGTAGTGCAAAGTATCATGGTCAGATACACATGTTTACAATGTCTGTTCCAAATTGCCTGCCATGTTGATGAGTCACTTGTACCTTTTCTCCCACCATGCCTTCTACTCCGTGCGTTCCAGGGGACCCCTTCTCTCCCTTCTGCCCAGGAAGCCCTGGGACTCTCGTCTGGCACACACTGCAGGCATTCTGCCAGCGCAGGCAAGGCAGGAAGCAAAAGTGGTGGCACAGACAAGATTTCATCAAGCTGAGCTGGAGCACTGCATATTCACCCTTTATTATGTCACATCCCCTGGGTGGAGGACAAGACCCCACCTGACACAAAGTGTTCTCTAAATGTCTGCAGAGCAGAAATAATGCGAACCCACCAAGAGTGTCCCACAACTAGGTGAGTGGTGAACTTTGTCAAACTTATTGACTTTGACATTTAGGTGAGAATCTTAAATATCATTGTCCCTGATCCAGTCTAGATATAGGCACTGCACCTTCCAGGAAATAGGTAAGAACAGTTGGAGGGAGAATAGAGCACCATTAAAAAGCGGCATTAAATCAGAAGCTGAGTCTGAAATACAATATGGAAAATAACCTGGACATCCTAGTCATCTAATTATCTTCCGGGAAATGTTAGCAATAAAACAATATAAGAGCATGTTATTATTGAGCTTATGAATGAAACAAAACTGTGTGTAGACCTTTTTTGTAGGTGTCACCCAGGTGTTAAATATAAGTAAGTAAGTAGCTACTAAACAACTCCGATGAAGGCTGCAAACAGTAGCAGAATCTAACAGAGCACTTAATGGATACAATAAGTTGACACTGAAGGAAAAGGTGAAAGAAAATCATAAGACTGCTGGCAACTGTCTTTATCTATTAATGATTGGTGAGGTGAAGGTATTTTATTTATTGTCAGAGTTGACGTGCATTAAGTATTAAACCTTAAAACACATTATTTAGCTAAGTGCTGCCCTGCAGGTATTATAATTAAGGAAGGTGACTACTCTGCTTCCATCAAAAGAAAAAAAGAATCTGTTATTTGTGTGGATTTTGATGGAAAATGCCCATTATGAAAGGTAACAGCCACAAAAGAAGTACTTGATCTCCCTTTTTACTCTATAATCTCAGATAATAAAGGCTGCAGGCTGAATAGTGTTTCACATTGCGTTTGGCCTCACAGTCCGGGTCCAAATTTGGCATTTGGTCAGAAAAGTTAAAAAGTACCTTGGATGCTGTTTGTGCCAAATGATGGATAGAATAGGGACAATAACCTTTTATGTATGACAAACATGTTGGAACACAGTTTCAAAGTAAGAAAATAAAGACCACGCTGCATGGCTGGTGGTTTTAGGGAACAGATTTATAAAATATTTCAATCATTTCAGAAGCAAGAGAAGTGAGACCTGTTGTCAAAGCTTTTTGTTAAAAGGCTTTAGCTGTGAAATAAACTAATGTGAGTCTTCGTGCTGTGGGAAGAAAACTGCCACATTGCAATGATATTTTCAAAACTATCTACAGTATGTTTACATATCTGCAGAGGAATTCAATGTTTATTTTTTATGTGTGTAATTGTTTTTTTACACTGAATATTTACATTGCACTGGTGTGACATCTCTATATGCTATTATCTTCACTAATTAAACATGTTGTCATACAGTTTGACTATGCACCTGCGGTGACTGTGTACGCCTGGAGCCTCATGTGAGATGATTTGTCTTTTCTACAGATCTTTCTCCCAGGCTTTTACTATCGCTGTAAACTGATAGCATCCAAAAATTAGCAGAAGGGCACTTAAATTAACAAATATCGATCATTTTTAAATACTAACGTGCCACTTTGCATATTACTGTTTGTGAAAAGCTCAATCGTTAACTATGAAGATACAATACCTTAAGTAAAGCGCCCATGTCTCCAACAATTGGCAGAGCAGTCTGACAAAAAACAAAACAAGAAAGAAATCCATGACACATTGCCACAGTCTTCATTTCAGAGTGAACAAATCTTTCATGTTGTGGAAATATTCTACTGTTCTTTTAGTTGGTGCAACTGTATCTTGTAAATTGCTCGAAACATCAATTTATGAGACCATCTTATAAGTCTTTAAGGAATGTGATTTCACCCCAAACGTTTTAACAAACTTCTTTTTCAGTGTTTCATTTCTAGTTTTTATCTGCAATGCTTGAGGAAACAGTTTAATAACTTTGTTGCTGAAAGACAGAGTCCTCACATCTTCAAAATATTGTTGTTCTGTCGAGTTGAGGAAAACATGTTGAATTGCAGCCTATGTATATTTTTTAAAACATCAAATAGACAATAAATGTGCTTCCTGTGTCTTTACAACACATGAATATAAATAAGTTACAAATGTACAAGGCTTTGATGCAACAGCAGCACTCCTACCACACTACAGCTTTCAGAACAACAGTAAATATTGCTTACTTGAAACACATGAATAGACAAGAAAGATGTGAAAGCATGTTTTGACAACAGGGTGCTGCCAATTTGTCATAAACTATAACATTTTCCTGAAAGTGATGTTGTTTAGTGAACAGCAGGGCTAGCTGCTAATGATCCCAAAATTGGAGCTTTACTCTTTTAATAGTGACTTTGAATTTAAGGTGAGCTCAGTAGTTCAAGCAGTGATGCAGCAATGTTGCTGAACTGCAGAAATCACAGACAGACAACAGATTTCCTTACTTACTGGTTCACCTGGGGGTCCAGCAGGGCCCGGGGGGCCTGGTCTACCAGGGGAGCCCTTTAATTGAGACAAAGAAAGCAGTTAACAATCCTCCTGGCTATGATATTAAACAGACATGCAAGACTCTGCTTTCACCCTTATCTCAGTTGGTGGGGATTAGTGTCCAGGAGCTGTGATACTTGTTCATCTACAGTAGCTGACATTCTTTTATGCTTCTTATTAGTCATCTTTTATCTGCAGATCTGTGAGGGAGTGTATAAGAGTCGAAGGGCAGACTGATCTCACTCACCTCCCTTCCTGGAGCTCCAGGAGGGCCAGATAAACCTGAGGGTCCACGAGGGCCCTGAAACGCCCAGACACATGATTTGAAGATTCTTGCTTTAAACAACCAGCTAACAACTAACAAACACCGACAAGTATTATTTGTATTGCACAAAAGAGTGCTGGGCCATAGCAGCGTTGAGCTGAAAATTAGAAAGTAAAGGTGAACATGCTGTTTGTGTGTTGTGGATTTAGTACATTTTCCACCGACCTCAATTCCCGGCTTTCCTGGGGGTCCCATGGGGCCCTAAGAACACATCACACATCGTGTTAACACCGTCAGCCCTCTAGCACCCACTATCCCATAAAGGAATTGTGTTAGACAGCATTCGCTCTATTGATTCTCTGTCTCCAACAATCCTGTATTTCAAAAATGAAAGCAGACTCACTCACAATCTAATCTGTGAGGTTTGGTGCAGAGCATATATGACGAAGGCAGAGCGCAATACGCCAGCACCTCACAGTTATGACTAGCATTTTCATCGGACAGTGTATTTAATGAATGCTGATCTTGATATTCAAAGAGGATATTTCAATGCCTACAGACAGGAATCTGAAGGTATCATAGTTTGAACTAAAATATTAATGTGGGAGACAGAGACAAATCAATACAACATCGCACTCACAACCGGGCCGATGACACTCTCGCCAGGTTCTCCTTTTTCACCATGATCTCCTGGCAATCCTGGGACACCTCGCTCACCCTGACAAAAATCAAAGAGAGCAGTGGGGTTTCAGTGATAGTGAATCCAGACGTCATGGAGAGCCGCTGCACTGCATGATCATTAAGTATTCAGACTCTGCCGGAACTCATTTTCCGTTTTGTATTTTGCCTTCAGTAGTTTCAAGGCTAAAAAAAAACATTATGTTCCTTTGATAACTGGGGCATCTTTAGTGCATTATTGTCTAAACCTGCTGCCAAACTCCAAAACCTTGAAATCTCAGTTTAAAATGAAGTAAATACAGTATGTGAGCATATTTTACCTATATGAATGGTATCGCCTACTCGAGTGATTCTCAACCATCGGTTCCTCTGCAGTTGCAAGGGGGTATGTTTAAAGATTGCAGAGAATTTAATTAAAGCTCAACTAATTTGAAATAGTAATTAGTTAAAACATTCACTACAAACAGGCAAAAACAACAGGTTAAAACAAAAGTCCTTATACTGAGTCAGCTGCCAACCTAAACACTGCAGTGTGTGTTGCTATTAAGGGTGTGTGAAAAGTAGCCAGCAAGTCAGCAGATAGGTCTAAAAGTAACAGACAAATGGTTGGAATAGATGCTTAAAGGAATGAATTTGTAGATCAAGAAGATAGCTAAAGTAATGGATAAATGTTTGAAACATTTAGCTTCAACCACAAAAGACAGTCAGACAGTCTATTGTATGAAAGTATTATTGTAGTCTAACAATACACACTTTTATTAGTTTAAAATCATTTCAAAGGAACACATTTGGAGCATGACAGGTGACTGGTGTTGATGAAGGAGTGCTTGAGTTCGGTCTGACAGTTGGCCAAAAAAAAACTGGGAACCACTAACCTATACTGAACTTGAACATGAAATTATTATGGTAAAACATGCACAGTTACCATGAACATTCCTGATCTATCTGCAGAAGTTCACATAGTGAGCAGTATAGATGCTCCACCACAGCAGTGCTTCCTACCTTGGGCCCACGAGACCCTCTGGTTAGAGACAAACCATCGCCCTACAAAACAAGAAGAAGACATCAGGATAAGGATTCACCGCACATTCATCAGCAGTTCACTGAGGTGCAGCCCAAAAAAGTTGTTCTAGTGCCAGAATTTAACTACTGGATGTGTGCGAGCTACACTCCACAGTACAAACAGCAGTCTGAACACAGAGCTGCATTATGAGCTCATGTTCAATACTGTTTACAACACTTTTAATAGTTTCCATGTATAGAGGCAAACTGATAATGCCATACCACAGAGAAAAATCTTGATTGGAATCGAGGCTACTGTGAGCATTATTTACTGTACAGTTCAGATGAGACATTGATTTCTGTGGTCAGCATGTATTAGTGTTACAAGTCCTACATTGCACAATGTAAATTAGCTGTGCGGTAGTTGGATTTGAACTTACACAGCAATTCTACAGTTTTAGGGAGAAATGTACCAATTCACTCAAACATAAAACAGAGAAAAGGTCTGGGAAGCACAGAACTTTTTGGGGACAAATAATATTATCCCAAGACAGCATTTTCAGAAAGTTCCATTAAACATTATGCGTTAGCACTCTATTGAAACAAAACCTTTATTTCAGTACTTTAGAGAGAGATGGCTAATATATGCAAATAATAAAAGCCAAAAGAAACAAACAGTAAATTGCTCATTATTCATTTAAAGGTAAAATCAATAAAGTGACATTCAAGACTTGAGCAGGCTGACTCATTAAAGATGCAGAGACCATTTACAATTCTGTTTATGGCTTTTTTCCCTTTTCTTTGTCTTACCTAATAAAGACCATAAAATGTTGAGAATGAATTTTCCTCCAACAGCTGCAGATGGAAATGACGTTCGTAAAAGACTATCAGGATCGATGCAGAAGGATGTCCTCTACGATAGATAGAGCTCTCTTTGTTTGACTTTTGAACTATGTAACAACAATAAGAGGTCATTGGCCTGCTGTAAACAGCTCCCCTTGACATTTACACGCACACACACTTATATAGCCCTCTTTTCCAATCCTGCTCCAATTTTCACAGTGCTAGAGAACATTAAATAGGTTTAAATACTTCTGCCTGAATGCAATCTTTCCCTTATTACTCTGCTCAACCGAACACAGCACCCCTTGCTTGATGAGTAGGTCTGCTGTTGGGCTTAATGTTCAGTTCACACACACAAACATGATTGTTTAAAGCCTTATAGAGCACTTGCTGGTGACTGAGGAGCCCAAGTTCTGTCAACCAGGACTGAGGCCTTGGCTGCACATGCAACCCCTTTTTGGTGAAGCTATAATGAACATTTCTATATGCAAAGCCACGTCCATTAAAGAGAGTGCTTCAACAGCTATAAGCTCCAAAATGGGAGGATAGGTGATTACCCAAGCTGGGGTTATCCAATGGTGGATTACCTAATGGCATTGCATCTCCATAATGTCATGGCAGCTACACAGCTGGAGGAGCTAGTTTCCTTTAACTCATCTGTTGCTGTTCCAGCTATTTGCAGAATTTCTGCTTTCTGAACTTCTGTTGAATGTTCTTGTTTTCTACACTGCCATCTTCTGTGTCCTGTGACTCGAGGTCTGAAGCCATCAAGGTCAGTTGAAAGTGACTGCTGAAACTCAATATGGTACCCACCATATATCCACCTCCAGGCTCTCCAGGCTCACCCTTGGGACCTGGAGGTCCCTGTGGCCCCATCACTCCACCAGAGTCCCCCTTCAGACAGAAAGACAAACAGCTTTCAGAAGTTTCTCCATAGACAAAATGTCAGAGTGGCTGTGTTATCTCAGCAATGCAAAGGATATGCTGTATTACACACAGGGAGGTGAACAAGGACAAGGCTGGAGGGTAAAGCAGGTACATCAATGGGTATAAACATTAACATTGTTTGTTAGAGGGGACAGCTTTTGGCCCTGCATGGGCCCTCACAAAACCATCGGGTTTTAAGGTTGGACATCACTGTCCACAGGGCAGAAACAGCAGTGTCCACTTTCTTTTCACTGCCTCAAATATATTTTTATCCAGTCATGGATAAAATCAACTTCTGCGGTGCAATTTTACGGCCTTAGGGCTGTTGTCTTTTTGCAGTGTTGGTTGGTGCACCACAAATATCAAAATCTATAAGGTGTATTGCCACAAATTTTGTACAAAGATGTATGGTCCTTTGAGGATGATTCCTACAGACCTGGATGATCCCCTCACTTTTCCTCTTGCTGCATCATAAGGTCATAATTTCAATTTGATTAACACTTTAGTACTTTTAAACTTTAGTTTCCATCAGCCTCAGCTGTACTTTGTCTTTAGAAAGAATTAGCAAATGTTTGCATGCTATCAAGCTAAACTAAGATGTTGCACATGGTAAATATCATCTGACACTGTGAGCATCTTAGCTGTCTTAGTGAGCTTTGTTTATTCCATGTATTTATTCATACACTACCACATGATTATACAACCAGAACTTGCATCAGTATAGCAAAGATGACAAAAGAGGATTATAAATGTGAATGGATGTAGGAATCTTCAGCACTTTAGGTTTATTTCTCTTGCCCCGGAGTGAAACAGAGTGACTCCAGTGGGTGGGGAACTGCTTCGTTTATTTTGACAAGTGACAGACCGCATCAAATATGCATGTCAACTGTGCGCTTTTCCACTTTCAGCACAGTATTTGGAACAAGTCCTACTGCAAGAAAAAAAAACTGTGTACAAATAACAGAGTAGTCAGAGGCATCAAAGGCGAGAACACAAAGTTACAACATGATTGAGGATGGCATGCAGGGCAAATAATCTGAAAGGTGTCTTCACAAGTTGTCTAGCATGTTCAATCCGTGATAAAACATCATAGCTTCATATTTTTCTTTGAGGTGATAACTTAATTTGAAGTTTACCTACCTTTTCCCCTTTCAGGCCATCTCTCCCAGGCACCCCTTGCTCCCCTGGCTCCCCTGGCGAGCACTGTAAATAGTGGTGAAAAGAGACACATCTATCACCAGGCCTTCATCTTCTCACACACATTTATCTCCTCCTCCTCACTGCTTCAGCGGGCTGCCGTGTTCCAACATAATTTCCCTTAGCCAGGATTTATGAAATGCCTCTTTTCCCTCCCTGCTTTTGAGTAAAGACAGATGCTCATTACTGAAGCAGGTGTGGAGAACAGATTGGGCCTCTGCCTCCGTTCCTGGCATAACGCGCTCAGATTTGCCTCTTTCCACTAATTAATTCTTAAATTTGATTACTGATCGTCTGTGTAAAAATTCTGGACTTTTCTCCCAACTTCCTCTCCACCTCGGCCTGGTGACGTTTATCAGTTCTCTTATCTCTCTCTTTCATTTTGGCAGACTGAGTTAGAGAGTAGAGGAAATGGCAAGGTGATAGAGAAGGCAATGAGAGAAAGGAGGCTTGACATGAAGTGCTATGTCTTGTGCCAATATACTTACTGGCTCGCCCGGGAGTCCTGGGAGTCCAGGCAGGCCTGGCTTCCCCTGGCAAAACACAAAGGAAAACCATTACTTTGGGCTATTTTCTCCCTTTGTCTGGTGACAAAATTGTCTGGGCTTTCAAATGTTATAGCCCAGCCAGTTACACTCGAGACATCGACTTTCGAGAGTATTTCAAATAGCTGTGTTGTTGAAGTGCTGCCCCTGCTGCCTTTTTAATAAACCATGGTTAGTCTCATGACAATTACTGCACTGTACGCTGAGGATATCGTCATGACTGAGCTGTAGCTTTGCACGCACATGTTATCTCAAATAAAAACGTACTCATTGGTTATGTTGTTTATGATCTTGGTATACACTGATGATGTGAGCGCTTCACATATTACCATCGAAACTGAGCTTATGTTGAATGACAATTGAGAAAGAGTGTACATGCATCAGTCTCCTGGCAACTATCACGTTTCATGATTGGAATTCAGCATTTAAATGAGTGTGTAAACAGTGATTACATTTACAAAACATATATAACCTAAGCATTAATGTTAATATGCAATTTTATCCATATTCCACTAACAAATAATCTGCTCTCCTGGTAATATCATAATCACTACCATTAAAAACAGAGCTCTCACCAAAACCAGCTGAAGAAACGATAAATGAGATGTTCACCTTTCAGTATGTTAGTTAATATGGGCCTGAACCAGCTGTTATGATCAAGTTCTACAAGTAACATCAATCCATCTAAGGTACTGTTAATGAGATCCAACTCCTAAAAGATAAAAATTTCAGGGAACTTGAGTGGCCGTCGTCTCACTGTTGTTTATATTCAGCTGGTTTGTATGCCTCTCGTTTCACCTGCTCTGAGGGGCACAGCAGACATGAGATGAGTACAGTAAAGACTCACCTCTGGTCCTTGATCTCCCTTTAGTCCAGGAGGCCCTATGTTTCCCTGGTACAAGCACCAAAAAGGGTGAGTAAGATGTATAGGGGAGGCAGGAACATGGAAGAGAAAAACATCAGACTTTTAACTTGTTTATGTCACATGAGAGAAAGCCTATACAGTGGAAACCGGTTATAGTATGTCTGTCAGGGTCAAATTGATCACTATAAGTGGTTATTACACCGTGTATTTATTTATTTTTTGTTCCTGTTGTTTTGAAATGAACCTATTTCCAATGAAATAATTGACAAATTTTTGTCTTTTCGTTCATGTAAAGTAAGAAAAACACAACATATGAATCCAAATTAACATGTATTTATACTAAAAACTACTTTTAATACTTTTTTTTTACAGTACAAAAATGACAAGCAAGAATACTGATAAATGATAGAATAATACAAATATATTTTGTATTTAAAATAATCATTCTGGTTGTTTCCTCTGCTTCACAACTTTAATCCCTACTGTGTGGGCAATAGGACCTTGAGTGAGGCTGCAGTTAATCGCTGCTCTGCCAAGCAACATAACCCTGACTACACACTCTCACTGACACACACAGATGAATGGTGAAGGAAGATTGATTCAATGTAGTGAGTGAATTGTAAGTTGTTGTTAATGATTGTTACTTGCTTAAATTTAGATATTTTTGTTGGCTATGGAAAACTCTAGTCTAGCTAGTGTGAACGCCTCTAATATCTCTATGATAGGATTTCTAAACAATATCAGTCCCCACAGAATGTTGTTTTCAGTGAAAACAGTGTGTCATAGTGTCCCTGTTAATGCAATTGTACCGGTTTATCCTTCAGTTCATTGACCAGATGGATATCTTAAGATATTTTAGGAGAGGGAGAGAGAAGCAGGAGATTGGCAGGGCAGTTGATTCTGAGGTCAGTAGTGGTCTACAGGTCTAAAGAAATGTGTGGTGTTTTTTTTCTTCTAACAATAGGCTTTAGTTGGCAGATCTAGGCAATTAAACTAAATTATTTTATGATATTTATTATATTTGCTTATATATATATATATATTATATTTGATTCTGACCAACTTAATAAATTAAATAAATATGTCAATGTTGCCTAAATGTAGGCTAGGCTTTACATAAGTGTGTACCCACAGATATACATAATATAATAAAATAAAAGCAATCATAAATACTTCTGCCTTATTAAATTCAGACAGTAGCCAATTGAAATGGGATCCTTATCAAGAGCGTACATGAGAAAGTATTTATTGTATGCTTGTATGCAAGCTAAACTATTGAGCAAAATCACACTGATTGAATCAATCTACAGTGCAGTAACAGTAATTAGTGTTATTAAATAGCATTCTTTAAACCTGCAACTAATAAAGAAAGGACTTAGATATGCTATTACTTTATCACACATGTGCATGAGCAGATGGATAGCATTTAAGTCACAGCCTACAGAAGACCTCAGCAGAAGCACAGTAAATTCCCCCCACGCAGCTTTGATGTGACTTAAAAGTTAACATTACAGTAACTTTTGTTCAATAGAGAGGAAATGGAAGAAGAGAATATGTCTGTTGCTTTTTACTTCTTAACATCTTGGCTTCATGACTGGTTGTTGACATAAGTGTAGTTCAAATACAGTAGCAAAAGGTTTTGCAAGCGCAACTTACACATACCCTGGTGGCTAAGCCCCCACTGTCTTTCAATCCTTGTGACGTCCCTGCTAGTGAGCTTAGTGTGATTTACTGTACAATCATTAATCTTGAAAAACTACACATTTCTAAATCTTTTGTAGTCATTTTGGTATTACTTTAGAATAAATACATGCTCATTTGAATTCATAGGTTATTTTTTCAGATTTTATGTGAATGAAGACACAAATTCACACATTTCTCAGTTTTAAATTCAAAATATCACTGTACTGGTCAAAAATGCAATATTTGTGGGGAATAATAGGCATTTTCCATACTTTTGAGGAATAAGTATTTAGGAAATAACACTTAGTACCCCGTATCAAAAATTGTGTTATTTTTTTCTTCTCTTTATTTCTCACGCAGATTACTGTCTAATTGACATTTTCATACATGAATATAAAGCAATGAAGCAGACAGCTTTGTTATATATACAAATTTAAGCATTGCCCTCTCATGCTCCAAGGCCTGTCTGAATGGTCTGGTTGAAAGCATTACACTCCACTCTAGTAACATACCTGCTGCAAGAGAGAGCGGGGATGATAATTAAGCACTGTAAAAGTCCCAAAACGCCAGCAGAGCAGGAATGGGAGGGCAACACAACTCACTGAGCCACGGTGATGTGAGTATAGTAGAGAAAAATATCACATGGGTGTGCGAGTTTGCACACCAAGCACCCACACACTCACAAACAGTGAACTTATGCTAGGAGAGTAGGCAGGGACGGTCGTTAAACACTGTAGCAGTCCCAAAACCTCATATAAATAAGTTAAAAGAAAGCCTATGCATATTACAACTTGCAAACACTGTAAGCAAATTATTTAAACAGCATTTGTATATGAATGATTCTGCCCCAAGCTTTGTGATCCACATAAGCGATTGATCGCTGTAACTGTGATCGCTTTCTTTTTGAATTCGAGATACAGTAGAACTGCTGCACACATTAATGTCTCAAAGACGGTTCGTAGGAGAGGCATTAAAGTTGACACCAGAAAGGAGTGAAGGTCAACTTCAGTCGTAACTGGAAGAGAAATTACTCTGGTGTGTCAGCTCAGGAACACCAAAATGGATATGGCATGTTGTAGGGCCACTGTCAGGACTTACTGCATGTCAAAGAAAGAACTTTTGCTACAATAAAAATGGCTTTGATCCACAATATGTATACTCTATACAGCACGACCCGTTGTGACCGGTCATTTGAGAGTCACAGTGGAGAGCTTTACAGAGTGGGACTCAGTGGACATAAGGGACTTTGGAGTTTTATTTTGTTGGCAGCAATGCTCAAGTTTTAGTGCCAGTGCTAGGTCTTCAACAAGTTACCTTGAAGCCTTGCGGTCCTTGAGCTCCTCTCTCCCCCTGTAGAGAGTAAAGGAGATAGACAACCATTTCTCAAAACGTGCATAAAGAATAGTCAAGTAAGTCATTCCTCTTGCTGACAGCAGTAAGGTTTTTTTTAAAAATGTCCTCAAGGACCCTCATGAAGTTAGCTTTCACACTGTGTGAAGGTTAAGAATATGGAGTATTTCCTTCACCAAGTTTACTCCTTTGTTCTCAAAATGTGAACATAATCAAAGAAGCAACTTTTTCAAATAAAGTCTACACCTGAGATACCATATATAACATTTTTGCTCATGCCTTCATACCACTTACACGTGTCATAATTTTATGCCGAGTGTTTGACTTTGACGATTGCCATTATTCAGTAGTTCATCCTCAGTAGATTCTTATATCTCTACGTATATAATGTGTTTCTCTTTTTCATTTAGCTGCTTTTGATTCTTGATTTAGCTGCATCAGTGGCCTTTGTAATCTGCTTGCCTCAAGTAGATGCAGCTGCTGTTTTGAGGTCCAAACAATAATTGTACAACAATTTATTCTGTGCGCCACCTCTGCAGACAACTTCCAGCTCTGAACAGCAGGTGATGTTCAATTGTTCTTTGCGAACCAAATGTCAACTCGGTTTTTGTTGATGTTACATAAGAAATGGAAACATTTTTCACGCTGTGGTGTCAAGTGTTGGCTGCGATGTTTGAAAACAAATACTGAGTTTCCTATGGTTAAATTGTCTTTACTGAGAAATCATAACGAGGGAAATAGTTACCTGATCTCCCTTTTCTGCCTTTAGGGTCCTCTCCTTCATTTCATCCTCAAACACAAGAGAAAACAGACTACTATAAAATCAGACTGAAGTGTACAATTTGAAGCGGAACCACAGAAAATAACATATCATAACTAAACATTTCAGATTTTATGATATAAACAGTTGCTTACAGTTCCAGAGAGCTGTCTTAATCCGTGAGCTGTCATCACCTAGAAGTAATGAAAAAGACACAGTGTTCTCTGAACTCTCTACTGATCTTGCAATTACTGCAAGTAAGAATCTTAAAAAATTCTCCTGAGCTGATTGTTTAGAACGGGAATATAGAAGTAACAACTTCTTGATCCACAAATGTGTGCCCAACATGAATCTCTTGATAGCAATCTGATCCTCAGTATAAGTGGAAAAAATAAATCACTATCTAGATTTAATGTTTCTATATTTCTTAAGTAAAGCTTAGAAGTGAGGTGACAGAGCGGCTGGGCAGAGCCTTCTACAACTAAATGAAAAGAAATGTAAGTGGAAAGGTCAAGACCAACCAGTTAAGGTGGACTGATTCCCGGAACTACTACAACTGAAGAGAAGAAATTTCCAAATTAAATCCCATTAAATTAAAGCATCATCAGATTATTCTTTGCAGTGTTTCTACAAAGCTACTTGATCCTCATATCATTCCCTGTGTATGTTACACATAAAATCAAAGACTTGATTTAGACCTGGAATTAATATACATGATTGCGGATCAGAATACAATCTTGACCAAAAAAAAAAACACAGGGGGAAATACACCCAGGGCACATGGAATTATTCAATGGCTATACTATTGACACAAGTGACCACACTGCGCACAAGTGTAAATGCAAATGCTTTTTTAATCCACAAATTTACAGAAACTTGTGTTCAGCATTCCAGTTGCCTAATGGCTTTTTTCACCACTTCAAAAATAAAGAGAGGGGTGGAACATTTCATGGCCGACACTTGAGACATATAGCAGGTTCGCACATTGAGATACAATCTGGACATGAGACGCACAATAAAATGTTGATGTAAACGGCACAAAAGATTTACAGTAAAAGTGAGGCCAATTTTAAAGGCCCAGTGGATTAAGAACTGAGTAAAGCAATCTAGGGAGCAATGCTAATTATCTATCTATAATCATCAGATTCTCATTACATCTGAATGTCCTCAGGCCCTTTGTACTGTGTTAACCACATGTTTCACCGCTGTATGCAGTTATAACCAGATCATTCTTGGGTGGTTTACATAACAATGAAAGAAGCAAAAGACCATAGAAGCAATCTTGGATCTGAAAGCCATCTCCAGGTGGGGGACGATTTGGGTATATTAGAAGGAATGGATTATTTGGCAGGAAAGTGGCTTGTATTGAGATCAGTGCCACTGGTTTCTTCCCTTGTTTTTTCCCCCCATTTAAGTGTGTTTGTTTTTCTTTGTCCGCCTGTATAGGTGTCCTTGTTTCCTGACTAATGTGTGCCTGTGCGCCCTTTGAGCATGTTACTGTGATTAAGGGCTATACAGTACAAAATAAACTTGACATTAATTGCTCTCCCCTCCTTCAGTAACAATAGTCAAAGTAACCTTCGGTAAGGTACTGAATTCCCTACTGTCCCAGTGCAGTGCCTGCATAATCAGTCAACCTTCAACCTGCAGTCACTCACCAGAGCAGCTGCCACAGAAGCAGTCAGTCTGTGACCGGATCAGAAATTTCTGAATGAATTTTTCTCTAGAGGAGAGAATTACTGCATAGAACCTTCTCCCACAACATACCTTGGAATAACATATTCAGTTTAATAGATTGTAAAGTTAAAGCAGTACTGGCAGCAATAAAAGCAGGACCGTCTCAGACTGTTTTGCCACTTTAAGGGCAGTGGGGGAAGTGATGGCCGTGCATGCCTGTAAGCCCACTGCTCCCCCCTGTCACTAATAAACAGAGGCACAAGAAGGTTTATGAAGGGAGGGTAATGATCTGAACCCTTGCTTCTGCTGTGTAAGGGAAATCAATGCTTAACTGCCAAAATTATCTGCCATGGGAAAGCAGAGAGCACGGACAGAGACTGGTACTAAATATTCAAACAGCCTCATTTATCAAATGACTAATGCTTTCCCCTATGCTGTGTGCTATAGTATACATATCCTATATTCTGGGTGGCCCACACCTCACTACACAACAATGAACACAACTGAGTATTTCAGTTTTGACAGAACATTTCTTTATCTTCTGCCCGAAGTTGAAATGAAATATAGACAAAGGAGACACCTATTCAAAAAGAATTGCAATGCAAGACTTCAGTGTTTTGAACAGCCATTAAAACCGCCTACGCTGATATCTATTCTTATTAAGGGAGTTGGCTTTTTGTTGGTTAGACACAAACCAGTGAAACCAGTGGAAAGGGAGTGATATTTGTTCGCTATATAATTAAGTTGTCTAATTTCCATATGAATCACCTGCTAACAAGCAATGTGAATGAGAATGAGAATGAAAGCCATCAAAGTTTGTCACCAAGTTCATGTGTGAAGCCTTCAGAGGCTCAATAGGCAACAGATCTTTAGAACAAAACCCATTAGGAGTCATCTAAATGTCAACCCCCCTTCACACTGTGACAAGTGGGCTCCAACATGTTTTCCTTTCACACTTTATATAGTTTAATTTCTCTTTTTTTTTCAAATAGGGATCTCATAGATGCTGCATGTCTTTGTAGTCAGTACTGCCCCCTCGCAGATCTTTAACTGATTTGTCACAGTGTGTTTTTGACTCTAAGCAATACATTCTATCATCCCAGCGCCACCTACTCCGTGTCACCTTCAGCGTACATCAGACAACCACCATGACATCAGGGTTTCTCGTTTTTTTAATCTGCTTCTCCACTGAAGGCAGCACTAGTGTCTTCCGACAAAATGTTTCCTTAATTTACAATTATGAACATTATAAACACGTCATGTGGTGCATGGCCTCTATTAATTTGCAAGTTGTTTTTTGTTCCAATCAAACAATTACGGCGCCAGTGGGTGATGGCAAATGTGTTAATTTGATACTAGATACACAGTTCACAGCTTCCAATGCCAGTGCAAGCTATTTTGAGCATAATTCTCTTCTGTGTACAATACTCAAAAATGACTCATTGGGAGCTTGCTGCCAAATACAGTTCATTTCCTGGAAAAAACGAGGAAGCTCTTTCTCGGATAAATCCAACACAACGCATTTCAACTGCCTATGTTTCATGCCCTTTATCAACTCTGATCGACTTTGTAATGAAACTATATGAACACATCTGCAAGGTTGTCAAAGAATGGATACTGGTTACAAGATGACATGCCACCATGTTGGTGGTGTGACAGCAAAAGGAAACACTGCTTTTGCCTGTTTCTCCATGGTTCCAAATTTTTTCATAGTAGGATGTGAACAGCATACTGATGCACAAAACACTGACATTTTCTTTTTTTCAGGTTGGCCGCAGTGAACAAAGCACCGATATTATAATCATTTGTTGTTACTCATCCAACATGGTGTGGTCCCTTTAGATAAAATACTGATCAAATCTCATAATAATTGGCAATGAATGATATTGTGTAAGGTGGGCTTTCATCACTGTATTGTACTTACAGGACCAGGGGGACCAGGAGGGCCGACGTCACCCTGAAAATACAACAGAAACAAAATACCAATCAGTACAGACTGATAGACAGAATGTACAGCGACAAAAAAAGGGAAAACTAGAAAAAAAGAAACAAAGACAAAGGATAAAAATGCACAAGAGAAACTATTTCTGAAAGCAAGGTGACCTCAAACAGCTACATCAATAGGTTTTCGAGCAACAATAAAGGAGGCAATAACATAACCAGAGAAAATTCAGTCTAACTCAAGTAATGTGAGAAGAGCCATGAGAGGAGTGCAAAGAAAACATTAAAGCATTCTTGTTAAAAACATTCTGCAGTGGTGTGCATTTCAAGTGCATCACATAGAATGTTGCCATACTTATGGCTTACATATATATATACACCTTGTATACCGCTTTTTAATGTGTGTAATTTACAAGCTATAACTTGATTTTAATAAAACAAGGAAACCCAGCACAACATCTTTATACAGCCCTATAAACAACAACAAAAAAAAACTAAAAAGCCCTCGGAGCACTCATGGGGTACCTTGCCAAGCATACACAATTCTCTAAATTTGTCATTTTAATAACAGAAAAGGTTTAGGGCGTTTTTCATCCCCAGTTGGATCTGGATCAAAACACACATGATGGAAAACAATCGTGCTGATTTTTAGAGAATACCTAAATCCTGGGAACATATGGGCTTAATTAAACAAGTCGCACAATTCATCTCCAATATCCTTGTCTTATTTATTTAAACATGTTTGGCTAACTTGCCATCATCAGGTAAAGGTTTTTAGCCATGCTCTAGTGATGGCAATGTCGGTCAGTCCCTCAGTTTGGTTTAGATGAAAATAGTTTAAAGCATTGCCATGGGATTTTATACAGTCATGGTTCCCAGAGAATGAATCCTACTGAATTGGTGATCACCTGACTTTTCCTCTAGCGGCACCACGTGGTTGACATTTTAGTGAAATGTCCCAACAACTACTGGATGGATTGCCATGTAATTTGGGTCATACGTTCATTTGTCCCTCAGGATGAATAGTAAACACTTTGACGATGCGATTGCTTTTCATCATCATCTGGTATAATGTTTACCATGTTAAACATATGAATGATCCCAGACATAACCATTCAGCTCGAAGCACAACTGTGCCCAAATGCAGTCTCACTAGCTTTTAAGAGACTTTTTCTATCTTTGGATGATTTGTGAATAATGCATAATTATATGTTGAGGCCATTTGAATGTATTACCTTGCTGTGAAATCCCATTAAATTTCATAAGGGTTGCTCGGAGATGATATATGCACCTTTCATCTGAATTTGGTTGAAACTGCAGCGTGCATACAAGAATGTTGCCAATTTATGCCAAATAGGCAATGCCTACAAGAATTCAGACAGCATTTACCTATTTGTTGTGAACCAAATATGGTGGCAAATGAATAAAATTCACAGAAATTATAAAATTATATGTACTTGTAATTTGTCTACAGCCACAAAAAGGTGAAAACACACTCTCACGCAGCCAGAAACTGTCATCAGCAAGACAATGATTAAAAGCATGCTTAGAGGAGCAAAGGATACAAACAGTAGCAACTGTAAAAACCAAGAAATAATCACCTGCAGATTCATTATTTGATGTAATATGATTTCAAAGACCCTTGGAGGGTAAACACACTTGAAGAAGATAACTGACTCAAAAGGTTTAGCCTTTGAATTCTGGGAAATCATACCGATTATATTGCTTGAACTATCTTACCTCCACCACCTCTCTTTCTCTCTGCTTTCCACAGCTCATATCCACCCACCCACACACACACCCCCCCCCCCCCCCCACACACACACACACACACACACACACACACACACACACACACAGGCTCACGGAGCACAGAGGGAATCATCATGAATGACACTTGACATTGATGTGACTTACTTTTTGTCCTTTCATCCCGCTGGTCCCCTCTGAACCTGGCTGACCCTGTGGGAGGAGGCCTTGGTTAATGACTCTGTAACACAATAGCATTGTAAATGTCACTGCAGGAAAATACATACGGGGTCTCCTCTTTCTCCTTTCTCCCCTTTTTCCACTGGGACTCCAGACTCAACCATCTCCCCCTGCATGTGAACAGAGTAGATCATCGACAGTGACTGACAGCAAAGACAGGGCAAAATAACAGAAAGCTCAGAAGGTGAAAGTTAGTTGTTGTGAATATGTAATCAGAAAAAAACACACAATACTGTCTCTCATCAGAATTTTTATTTGTATAATTACATACAAGCATGGTGTTTTAAGTCTAACAGGATACTGAAAAAGTCATGCTCGTGTTGCATTGCAGCATGTTTCCAATCATTCCCCTGTCTGCCAATAGATGGCACTTTATGACTACTGGTGATCGTCAGAGTATTTTTAATAGGATTTCTTCCTGTCAGTTCTATGGAGAGGTAAAGAAGTAAACATGACTGTAAAACAAATGTACTTGCACTGTGGTCAAGACACACAGTGAATGGATAGTTAAAAGGATTTATGATATATATATACGCCGGGGAGTCATTTCCCACTTTCTTTTTACCAGCTAAGATTTTAGCTACATAGTAGAAATGTGGTAAATAATTAACCAAATGCATCTGGAATAGGAGAAAACCATGTCACATCTCCTGACATGCTTAATAAAGCTCCCTGTTGTGATATATTTTTTTCTTTTCCAAACAGTAACACACAGAGACACACACCCACACAAAAATGGGTTGTTCATCAAAGATTTTTGTTGTTTTGTACATAAGGCTTCAGGTAATCTGTGCTGAGACATTATGGAGCATCTGTTTAGCAATCTGAGAAGACAGAGAGACATCAGAGAAAGGTTGCAGCTTATTTTCACACTTCTCAGCGGTGCCTGGACTCTAACAGACAATAATTATCATTCAGTTTTGGGCCCCTCCCCCGTCCCATCAACTCGCTAACGGCAGCCTCTGTGATACCGATCTTTTAATGAGATACAGTCACTGTTTCCTCATCCAAATTATGAGCTGTCATTAAGTCAGTCAACTGATGCCATGTATGAACGGTTGCATTGTCCTATTAATATTTTAGGCAGAGAGGACGGACTAGTGGCAAAATTGACTTTGAGTACTAATTCAATTCTGTACAGCTTTAATCTACTTTAATCTACACCAGCTACATTGTTGTTTTCGTGCTTCATCATCAGCCAAAGCCCACTTACGATACAGTATCTGAACTGTATTTGCCTCACAGTAACTGTGAACCAAATCCTATACTGTACACAGAAAATAGTCACCCATTGTTGAGGCAGTTTGCAGTTTGAGTTATGACTGACATGTAATGTAAATCACGTTTGATGGAAAGTTAGTGTTAGCCCAAGATGTCACGCACTGTATTCTGGCATTGACTAATGGCAAAATATTTCTGTCTTTATCATTGTTAGATCTCTATGGGAGATCATTCAAAGTCAATTTATTGGCAGAGGGGTGTGTAACAAGTTAATAAACCTTTCAAATGAGATTAACTGCTGCACGGACAGTATTTATCCAGATTATCACTGTATTTACACAACGAGAAAGCCCAGAGCGTGTAGGACAGGGAACTGGTCCACCTGTGATAGTCTGTGGGGGATGTTGACTTTGAGGCGCCTCGAGTCATCAAACTGCAATTAAGCCTGTCTCCATCCCTCTCCGTCTCACCATCAATATCTGCAGTGTTCTGTCAGAGCCTGTTTGAGACTGTCAGTGGGAGATACAGTTATGGAGATGTGATTCATGAGAACGCCGTCTTCCCGGCACATTATGCACTGCGCAGACCTTTTTTTTTCACTTTTAAACATTCACACTCTGCTGAGTGAGTGAGAGGGGGCTCCTCTCACACAGATGTTCCACAAGCTGCAGTTTAGTCTAACTTGCGTCTGTTTTGTCCAAGCTAAAAAATGCACAAGGACGGCCACTGAGAAGTAGGGAAAATCCCTGATGCTGCTCAATTATTTCTGCTCATGGAAATTGTTCCTTTCCGTTCCTCTCTGAGGTGTGACGGTTTAGCTTCTCTCACTTTTCATCATCATGTCGGATTGTGTAAATGACATTAAATGTGTGACAATGCTCGTGTCATTTTGCAGACTCAAAAGTGAACTGATTCTCTGGGACAAGAGAGTTTTCTTGTCATCCACAGTAAGCATGAATTTATAAAAGGCAAAGCAAAGATGTATCTGTAATGCAAGGGCATGACTGATTTATGGCAAGGGCATGGCTGGCATGCACATTTAATGTAAGCATTAGAGCACTGAAACAATGTTTCTTTAATCATGTTCTTTAATCAAATGCAACGTTTAATCTAATCTTAAGTGGCTGGCTTTGGTCTCCTGCAGGCTTTGTCACCTGGAGGTGTTACTCTACCTTTCATCATTTTGAATCCACTTTAATGTCGTAAGTTACAGGGAGCCTAAAGGTTTACTTTTTCAAATACTTGTAAACTTCAACACACAGTGTTATACAATAACTATTACCTTTATGTGTCTTTTTCTTCACACTGTTCAAACCCTTTGGCCATTTACTTAACAAAAGACCTGAAAGTGATGCAGCAATTGCAGAAATTATGCTGAACCAACAATCTCAGAGCTATTTTATCTTTTTGCCAAGTGATGGTTTGAGTTTTACAGCTTCATTTTATGATTTGAGACCAATTCAAGTGAGATCATAAAGCTGCAACTCTGCAGCCAATTACAGAAAACTCATGAAAACGTGATCAAGGTAACCTCTGTTTGTGTGTCATTTTGTTCTTAAGCTTGCCTTACTAGGACATGATAATGCTACACTTTTCATCCAAATAAAACCACCATCCATTGTGCCTCCACCTAAGGTATACCTACTGCAATTCCATCTGTTTTGAGGTATGATAAGTGTGTCCTCATACAGACAACTTTCTTTTTCAAGGTTGGTCAGATGACACTTCTCCTTCCTCTGGGCAGAGGGAGCAGGAGGAATTCTGGGGCCTGAGCTGACACCCGAGCAAACGATGCACCTATACATCAAATGAACAGCTGCGGTCAAGAGGTTGTCCACTACACAATAGCTTTCACTCTCGGCAGGATCACAAGTGGGCCGCTGGAGGCTTGGTGGGTGGTTGGTGGGGGCCGAGGGTGGGATGTTGGGTTTGTGAAGGAAGCAGGTAGCAACAGAGACAGTGGGGGGGCCTGGTAGAGGTCCATGTTGGAGAGTTTTTTACACCGCATATCTCATGTGCCTCTGGTGAGCTACAGCACCCCTGGGCTTCATGAAAATGATTGCAGACCCTTTTTGCAAAAGCACTGTACATAATGGCCATCTGTCTGTCTGGAGTGTGAGCACTGCGTCACGCTGTGCTGCGCTGCAGGAGGTGCAGGGCAGGAACAGCTATTTAACTTGCACAGTAGATAGGCTTCTATTGACTGAAAGATGCCATTTTTACCGATGAGGGAGATCTGCTCCTGACTAGAAACGCAAAAATGTCAGTCACAGACATTGGTCTGGTCACACACGTGTCTTGTCTAAGCTGGCCTCTTGTGGACAAATAGTTACTCAAGGTACATCTTCATACAGACAACACAGTGCAGATGATTAAACTCCTCACCTATTTGGATGACTGCTACAATGAACACTGCTCAGTCATCTCGACAATTCACCCTTGTTGGAAGTGCAGGTTCGGTTTATCAAACAGGGAGACAGCTCAAATCTACTTTAAATGCCATATGTCAGTACTTTGTTTTGTGATGAATAATGTTTTGAGTGATACCTTGACACTTGCTCCTTGGGAGGTTCCTGGGGGACCCTGCAATTACAAGCAATGAGATAGTCTTTTCACACAGAGAGGGGGACAAAAAGGCAACTGTATAAACACTCCTGTTTGTGTGTTATTTATTTTTCAGCATCACTTTTTAAGCCTTTCCTAATCCTTTTTTAAACCAGTAGGTTTACTTGAAAAATATTTATATTTACGGCAAAGACCTGTTGTATTATATTTCCTAACCTTTGCACTAATGCAAGTTCTCATAAAGACGTGGCTGGCCCCCAGCAGTCTATAGATTATCTTTGAGTGTGTCTTTGTTGTGTGCCTTTCACTCCCCCTGTTGTCGCACAATGCTAATTTGACTTTGAAAAATAACCGCTGCCACCTCAACTGCGAGCCCTGTCCTGCTGCCAGTGGACAAGAGAGTGATGCCCTGGTGTGTTTTGAATAGATGATTTTGCCCCTGAGATCCATCTCAGCAAAACAGGTGACTCATAAATGCCAATACCAGGGGATGGAGGCAAAGCTGGCACATGTGAAGGGTATCATCAGGACACTGCCATTTACAAATGTCATACCTTCCATCCTGTCTTTCTTTTGTCCTTACAATTTTGTGTCCTACAACTTTAGGAGTTATTAAGGAGGCAGGGGATTCTTAAAATCACGTGGGAGAGGTTTAACAGTGAGTAGCTCAATTATACTAAAGATAATTGAACCTATTGAGCATAACGGTGACAGAAGTACGACGGAATCTTTCTGGATATCTGGATGAAATAAAATAAGACAAACCCTATGTACTGATCAAGGGTGTAATCAGGGCAACAGTGCATGAAAATAATTGGACACCCAAAGCACTGGAGCTACATGATGCCTAAACACTCCTGTTTGTCCTGACATCAGAGCAGTTAAGAGTCTGACAAGCTGTCTCCTTTAACGCATCATGGTGTTTGTGCCCTTTAGTGTGTGGGTCACTACACAAACACACAAACAGTGTCTGGGATTGGGTTTGGACGCCTGAGGAAAAGACCATAATTCAAGGAGTCAACGGGCCTTACAGGCAGACTTGTCGTACTCATCAATACAAGCATTCTTAAGTGCTACCTTAATATACCCCTTGTGGTTTTGTGCTAATAATATAGCCTGCTTGCAGCAGTTTGGGAGAATGGGAGACGATCTTAAGAGATCAATACAGGGTCCATTTTTTTTTCTTTTGTCCAATTTTAGCCAGGTGTCAAATAAAAAAGACATTCATAGTCTCAGGGGAGCTCAAATAAAGTCAGTGCAGACATGTACATTAAGTTATTATTCATTATGGTGAGATAGATGCACAAAGTTGTTTTTATATAGTTGTACTGCAGATTTTGAAGCATTCCATCTCTTTGCCTTGAATCAAAAATAAAAATACAAATATGCGTGTGTTTGTGTGTGTCTCTGTCACTTACAGGCAGGCCTCTGGGTCCAGGCTCCCCTGCCTTTCCTCTCCGTCCCTAAAGCAGGAACCAAAAAAACCCAAAACATTAAGATGTGTGAGTGAAGATGCAACAACAGGTGTGACTGGGCATACATGCTGCCAGCAATTAAGGCTAGACAGCAACTCCTGTCGCAGTCTCTAATTTGCTTTTAATTAACAACAAGAAAACAGCTTAATTGCTGCACCCCGTGTGGCCCACTAGTCTTTGTTCCCTCCTATGGTTTACTGTCTCCTTTGCAGCTGTGTGAGTCCCTCGGTGCATCAATCAACCCAAGGAGCAGATACAGCAGCAAACAGGCCAATCCAGCCAGTGCTGTCCAGCACTGCAAAACGAGGTCAGAAGGAAGCGATCATTTTGAAACATTGTGCTTGTTTCAAGGCTGAGTTTTTTTTTTGTGTTGCAATTGCAAAATGCCTTAGCGCTTGCAAGTCTTGCGAGTCTTGAAAAGCTGACATCTTAATGAGATGTAATGCTATCTGAACCAAACCAAAGTTGGTATAATTTACATCAAGGGGGTTTATGTCCTCGTGCGAAAAGAGGATAAAGCTCTGTGGATATCCATACAGCCGTCCTATAAACTGGCAGAGCATCACTGGCTCTGTGTTGTAAGGAGTGCCTGCAATTAGCTGGCTTTCACACACACAAGACAGATGTAAAATCAACTCCATTAGGAGATGGTAATGCTCTGGCCACTACGAATTCACTGTACAACAGTGTAATTTTCAGCATTAGTATTAGACAAAGCAGATATCTGTATAATGGCTAAATATGATTACCTCTTTCTAATAGGGTTTCATCATCTGACACAATTGCGACATCACAACACTGTATTTCCCTCCTACTGTATGTGTCAGTTTGGGTGACACAAAAACACTTCACCGAGTTAGCAGTGGTGTGGATCTGAGGAGAGGGAAGGATCTCTGGCTGCTGAAAGAAAAGTAGAGGATCACAAAGCAACGCCCCCGACTCCATGTACGCAGACTTTGATTAACTGGGTCAATTTTGACATGTACGTTTGCCTGCAACAAAGACAAAGGAAGGAACTTCACCAAGAGCTATTGCTTTTAATCATCTGTTTGCATGTGCGCTCATGCTCATATGCTGCTTGTGTTTCTCTGTTTGTCGTCCACAGATTACAGGATTATGAAAACAGGAGAAGCCAAGGTGTAGCACAGTAAATATTAACCTTAACAATGATACAGTGCAACAAGTGCGTGTCAAGCGTTGGGAATTGCGCGCTTTCCTCTGTTCATGCTGTTTGATGTACCAACAAAGCCCTGGCCAGCGTCTTTTGATTATGTGCTAATGTAGCTCCGAGGCAACATGCTTTACTGTGCGCATGAATGAGTGCTACGTCGAGAAGATCCGGAAGATGTTGACTTGTGTTGATGTGTGACATTATACTGCATTGGATTAACCTCTTTGAAATATAATTGTTTTTGGTTACCTTTGTAAAAAAAAAGAAAAGAAGAGCAGTCAGAGTGGCAGCCAAAGTATTCAGCGAGTGCTCGTGCCAGGATCCAGGGTGCTATATTTAGATTCAAAACACATCGCTTTTGTGTAAAAGGTCTATTTCTCACAAACAGCGTTTTGGTGACTGTGAATGGTGTTATTTTTCCTCTTTCACTGATAATGAATAGGCTGACACTGAATCATTGCTACGCTTGCAAAAAGATCAGGCTGTTTGTTCTAGTCCTAGCCCCAGCTGCTGCCCTTTCTCCCCTGAACTCGACAACAAAAGCAGATTACATAGATAAGTAATTTAGCTAATGAATATTTCATATGCTATTATTCCAAGCAGGTAGTGAATTATGCAGTTGTCAATGTTATTTCCGCACATCTGCCCTTAAAACTCTTTTAACACCAAAGTGGATACTAATTTTATGTCCATGTATTTGCATATTATCATCAAAATAAGTAGTGGCTCTCTAGATCTGAGTTTTAAACAAATTAAGTCAGAACAACCAAATAAGCATCTGGGGTTAACTCCTTATTATTAAAGCTCACTGGCACAGTACCCTACAAGTTGTGGTAGGTGATGGTCTGATTTTGCTTAGGACTCCTTTTTTGGAAACATTTCCTACATTTCAAAAAATATACTTCTGTATTGCATTCTGCTCACAACAAAATACTAACATATTGTGGATTACTGCCTTTATTGCTTATACAGTAGTCACACTGGGTTAATACTGACTTTCCAGTTTATCAGGTAAACCTACCTAGAACTAATGAATTGTAACACAATGGCCCTGCTATAAATCCTACATTTATGATAAATACAATGTTCAGTTTTATTGGAATCTGATGTAGAGAAGTATTGAATGAACTTTATGGTCATTTTGAGGCTGTAGTTTGTGGTGCTGCAAAACAATATTACATATACTGAGAGGTGTGTAATATTTTGTCCACCCTCATTGACATAAGCCGGGTAAAGACACCACTCAGTATTAACTATGTGTAGCTGAGTAAGGTGAGTGTAGATAAACTTTTTGGGAGTTGGGGTTGTCTATGTTGAGTTTCTCTTCTTTGATAACATATTCATTCAATATATTTAGAAACACCAACAGCCTAGACAATCATTTCCACAATAAAGCAATCCATTAAAAAGACTATACCAGTTGACCTTAGGGTTAGACTGACACTTAACACGCCATCCCCAACAAATCTGTGCACAGTGACAAGAAATAATTAGCTGCCCAGCTACGATGGCACAGCTGCCATTTGCACTCAGTTGACTCTCCAAACTGAAACACCTGCTGGTGACACAACAAGGTAACTGCCTCTGAAGGGACACACTGGCTGTGGAATACTGAGATAATCAAGATGCCAGCAACCACCGTAGTGCCCATGAGCACCCAAATACGACAGCAACAGTTAGCTCAAGCATGTGAAGTGTTTCAGATGATTAAATTCAGGGTTCTTAGTTGAATTCTGTGTTAATGGCATGTCAATGATTTGATCAATTCTAAATGTGTGGACCTGCTAGACTTTTGCAAAAGTGATACTTGAAATGAGGTCAATTAATTCATGTTCAGGCATGTTAGAGCAGTTTTTCTTCAGTTACTTTAAAAACTGTTTGTTGGTGTGTTGTCATTGCAGAGAACAATAAATGCTTTTGGCAACAAGCTAAAAGACTAACTTTGATACCAATTGATGTATTTCCATTTGTATGTGGAGAGTGTTCACAAAGACAATATCTACTTTTTTTCTGCAAAGACAAAAAACATAATTTGATGTATTCAGCTTTTACATTAGTTAATTATGATTTGTGTTCATGTTGCATCAGCCTTTCCTGATGAATATAGAGTATTTAAGCGAAACAACTGCAGTCATTAATAATAAGCAATAATAAGCACATTTACATTACTGAAATAATAAATGTCCTTCAGGTAAGAAGTCAGTCTCTGACACCACACCAACACAAAACATTGTATTAACTGAAAATGCTAAAAAAAAATCATTTTTAATTTCACCTCAGAGAGCAGTGAAGAAACAGGTGATGCTAAAAAACATCAGTATGTTGTTACTATCAACAGTACAGGTGTACAAATGATGATGATGATGATTGTTTTCTAGTTTAAGAATTATGTTGCTGTTCATATCCCAGATTCCAAGCAAATTCCAAGAATTCTAGACTTAATACAAAGCTTTTTTTTTTGCTTTTCTGGTGAAGGAGGTAGACACAACACCAGAAGAAAGATAAGTGTCAGAGGTGACATGCAGTCCAAAGCAGTCTCTAGGCAACAAGGATGAACAGGAAACCGAAGCTAAGGATTTCAAAACCAAAGAAAGAAAGAAAAGAAATGTGAGATAATGTGAAACATCAGAGAAATGAGGGACGACAAAACAAAACAAATGTTTTCCTTGATGTATGAAGATTTTAGCAAGAGCAACGAGCAGCCTGCAACTGGACTTGAAACATCAGTTACATGGCTATTTTGCTCTGCTATGTTCAAGTCACTTTTAAACCTGACACCACCACATATGTATGCCAAAATGCCATAGTGAAATATGTCAACATGATGATAATTATAACTTGAATAATAACTCATCTCATCCCTCTCCTGTCTCCTGTTTTTCTTGCCATCCCTCCTTCCTTCTCCTGTCACTCGCCCTGTTTCTCCCTTACCCAACTTCCAGCGCCTGTTGGATCACCCCGGCAATCTCTGTTGCTATGCAACGCTCACTATCCTATAAATTTGACAACATCCTAGTGCTTGATTATTATTTGAGCGCTGCAGTGTGAAGCCTTCCTTCAGGTCATTGCAGTAGATTAGAGGGAGGGAGAGATAGAGGAAGGCAATGAAGGAATTGAGGGACGAGACGGAGGGAAGGAAGTGGAGAAAGATGAAGGGATTGTGGAGCGGAGGAAAGGAGAGAGTCGGAGTGAAAGATGAACTAGCTTCTCGAGTAAATGAAAGATGGGCTGGCAAGACCAAACACATATTCACATGTACTATTTATCTGTTTAACTCTAAAAAACCTGCAAACCATGTAACAGATGTGTGAAAAGCATTCCATTAACAACTAATTTAATAATGGCAGTGGTAAAGATAGAGTGAGTGCATGTTTGAGCTGGGGTAAGGAGGAGTCCTCAGTAGACTCAGCGTATTTTGAACTTCTGACTTAATCCACATAGATCCCAGCCTCGACTGGCGTCAACTCTGCCATGAGTTGTAAAGTGTAAAAGTAAAGCACAGACACAGGGCCTGGCTCAGTCCTGCCACACAAGCCCCCGATCTGAGAGCAAAGTCAACAGCGACAGTGACACACAGCAGAGGCACTCTTTATGATGACTCCATAATCCTTATCCCAAATGTCAACATGTTCTCTGAGACATTCCATGTCCGACTACCCATGCTGGGATAACACTGCGGCATAAAATGGAGAGACCAGAACGTGATGCATTTTGAGCAATAAAGCAGATATACCATCAGAAAGCTACATAATCCACCTGAAAAATGCCCCTGTCAAGAGGGGTCAGTAGATAAGCTGGAGGAACCTTCTGAAATGAA